TACTTCCTTTATTTCAAGGCTCAGTCTAAGTAAGTATGAACACTTGCAATTGCACGATCGCAACCACGGAACTATTCCAGATGGGAGAACTCTGTTACTGCACCTGCTCGTCGCCAGTACAAAAGACAGTATGCGGCACTCACATAGTACAGTCATCCACCTTATGTATTGCTACAGTGTAGTGCTAGCCGACCCGTCCCAGTACTCATACCGTCAGACTCATACTACTACTAGACATAGTCATACTCATAAGTCATAGCTCAGGCCAGGATGCCGGGATCGAGATGGCGTTTATTTATAATAATTATGAGCAAAGACTTCTGGCATATCATCAGGCCAGATCTGCTTCGCGGTTCCAGCGCGTCGATACGCAGGAGGAGATCAAGACAGATGCCCACATCATCAACTGACTTACCGTAGTAGACACAGTAACCATGGTAACCTTGGACTTGGTAGCAAGTCATGCACAACATGTGCATGACAATGCTCGGAGCGACTTCAATCACGTGACCAAAAGGTAGAAATCCTTCGTCGCGTGGTGGCATTTCCCTTGACCTGCGAGTAACTAGTTGCCTGGCCATGCATGGCATAGGCGCCTACTCGCCTAGGCTAGGGTCGACGTCGGGACTCGGGAGGCTACACGTCGTACGTCACAAGAAAGACAGAATATGACAGCATTATCTTTCCACGAGGAGCTAATAATTATTACATGTACCTGGAGTATGATTGAGTCGGCCGGAGAGCCAATGATAAAGAAAAGGGCCAAGGAACTACAAGTTACGCTATAAATAGTATAATGTCCACTAACACCACCACTTACTAATACTTGACAATCAGCTCATGCGATAACATTGCACAAAACTGACCGACAGTACTCGTACTGACGACGTTCTACCTCTAACTGGCTATCAGCTCTAGCGCGTCTTGGGTGCGCACTCCAACAGCCTTCCAACTAACTTACTTGGAAGGTTCTAAGTAATTCGTTTATGAAAACATGTAGGAGGGGAAGGTGAGCACAACCAAGACAAGCACAAGCTGAAAGTCTCAGCTGTGAAGGACGTTGGCGGATATACATGCATGTCGATGACGATACTGGCAAGACCATTAGACAATACGGTCAAACCACGATTCAAGGACGCATAGCAACATACCAAACAACTTGCGTGGCTCTAAAGATGCAAAGATCAAATGAAGGGGAAGCTAAGCGAACATGACCCATGATTCCATGAACAACAGAACGCCTCAGTTAAACAGTGCTGTACGTCGACTATGACAATAATATTTAGATGGACAGCAGTTACGAGCACCGTCGGTCAGTTTTGTGCAATGGTATCGCATGCGCTGATTGTCAAGTAACTGGTGATGTATTGTTAGAGGACATTATAGCGTAACTAAACTTGTAGTTCCTTGGTCCTTTTCTTTATTATAAATTGAGTATGATTGATAACATGGATGTGGCTGTCGATACCAGTAGTATACTGGTGTACTGCAGTAGCCTATTTCTATAAAATATTATAAAAGTACAGAAACCTCTTTTACTGGCAAACAAAACCCATTTTGCAATTTATGGAGGAGTAGAATACGTGAATTGGGTACTAGAAGTGCCGAAAGCAATAATTGAATTGCATGAAAGTACGCGTATACGCGTAGTCGTTATTCGTGTGCCCCGCACCTACAATTTTTGCACGGTGCATCGGTGAGCAAGAAAACATAAAACAGCTTTCCAACAGTGTGTCACATGACATGCGTGGTTCATCGATTTTCTTATAATTATCGCTCTGTGCTTTTACTAGTTTACTTTTAGTTTTCTAAGCGAATTATCAAGTTTCGGCAGATCATTGAGGTGTGGGTCCTCTTCACTCAGTAGAGACGAGTCGAGCAAGCTGTAGTTGCGGTACCGAGAGGCGGGCTCACACCCCAGTGTGGCAACTACTTACTTCCTCATGTCCAACTGGCAAGGCGAAGTGAATGCCTTGCCATGCCGGTCAATGACCGAATCATCATCGTGTTCAGCGTCCGTAGCCATGTTTAGCCGTTTGAAAAGCGGCGTGTGCCGAGTGCGTCAGTGGCTGAAGTTGACCGCTGAAGTGGGCTGAGTAGTATTTGGTGGGAGGGGCTCTGCATGACGGGGCGAGTGGAGTAGACGTTTGGCTTGTAAATCCATGGCCGCTACTGTCTGGCTTCAGGTCGAGACTGTTGATGTGCTAGAGCAGGAGGTGATTATTTCAATCCATCGAAACCACCCCGTCCAACACTTACGACGGCTTCCCGCCACGCTCCAAGAACACTATTTAAAAAAAGTACAGTGCCATCGTGGCTATACGGAAGTCCAAAACACCAGCTGCCTTGCCAAAGCCTCCAGAAGACGATAGTACCACTGGTGTGAAAGAGCCGTGCTCTACCCAGCTCACGGATGCGCTCCTCATACCGTCGCCGCTTCTCCTGCTCATGTGCATGTGTACAAAATGCTGCCTGAAGGGATGGCTTGGTGTTTGTGGGGGGCAAAAGGATTGAAAACGCGAATGTCAAAGTAACAGGTTCGCCCACCAGTCAGCCGCCACGGAAGATTCCGTGGCGGCTGACCGGTGGGCGAACCTGTTACCAGACTGGCCTACTTACATATAAAGAAGCCTTGCTTGGCATGTTTTTCGATTTTGACAGCATGTTACAAGGGAACCCTAAGTGCTCTTTGCAGAGCGAAATGAAAGCGGATGGTAATACATACTACTTGTAGTAGTACATCTCTGCCGCCTCCGCTAATCGTCAGCCAGAGGCACACCTGGACATACGGGCTAGGGGTTTCTGGTCGCGGCAGCAGGACGCCTTTTTTGATGTAAGGGCCACTGACCTTGGGCCGTCCTTGCTGTCTCGTCCGGAAATCCTTAGCCACCTGAGAACACACGAGAGAATGAAGACTGAGGCGGCGTATGGTGCCAGAGTCAACCAGGTGGAGAGAGCATCATTCACCCCACTGGTGTTTTCGACCTCGGGTGTGGCGGGCAAGGAAACTTTTTCTGAAGTCGCTAGCTGCTCTGGTTGTAGACAAAAACAAAGACTTGCCATATTCTGAGTTACGCACCCGGGTTTCATTTTGTCTGCTGCGATGGGCAGTCACATGCTTTAGGGGCTGCAGGGCCTCTTACATTCGCCGCAAGGTCGAGAGCCCCTTTGGCTTTGCAGCTTATTGCCGCCGGCTGTGCTGACACGGGCAGAGGCGTGACCGTTCGCCTTTGCATGCCGGTAGGCATTCTTATTACCGTACTGGCAATATACATGTATATGGTCGCAGTGAGGCCATGAAGCGTTACATTGGCACATGTTTACCGCACGCAGGGCGTTACATGCAAAGTCGCACAGGAGCCGTTACACAGGTTTCTATATTGCCGCAGTTCTTTTTTTGCTATTGCCGCATCACTTTTTTGCTATTGCCGCAGTTCTTTTTTTGCTATTGCCGCATCACTTTTTTGCTATTGCCGCATAATTTTTTTGCTATTGCCGCATAATTTTTTTGCTATTGCCGCATCATTTTTTGCAAACTGCATGCAATGAAAAGATCGCCGCACACCGCCGGACGCGCGTTACGAACGCAACGAAAATTTGTCGCACTAGCCTGGTCGCGCGTTACGCCGCACCCCCCTGCGTTTACACTGGTTTACGCGTTACGCGCAACATTATATTGCCAGTACGGTAGGTAACGATTTCTTGTGAAGCTTTTGGAGTTTTGCGTTCAATTTTATATTTCAGAGTGTTCTATTTATTTCCGAGTTGTCTTTTGCTTTGACTCTTACTTTTAAACATAGTACTTCATGGTGTTGTGAATAAATGATTGAAATCCTATTCCTAGCCCGTTCGTTCTTGGGATGCATCACAAGGTGGACGGTGATACATTTAGCGAAGACTGAATAGCACGCATGCAAGAGCGGAGAGAAACAAAAGGAAAGAAAGCGGTGGGAAGTGAGACAAGAGGGGCTATAAAAAACAAAATAATTAATTCACCGTGCAACTGATCTGACAAGACCAACGCCTACGGGACGCTACATAGTGGTGGAGACCTGGGTTTCAGTAACAACTAGTTTTTTTTTTTTTTTCTTTTTTAAATCTACGTACAGCTCAGTCAGCAATGATTACAAAAACGAAAAAAGAAGTAAAGCAGTAAAGCAGAGCTGGAGTGCAGCCGCCCAATAGCGGACTGAAAACTACTAGTAGTAGGATGAAAAGAGCACAGACGAAGCCAATACAGTCAAAACCAGAGGCAAATGGTATCAAAATGCGAATGCCCGCCTCAGCAACCGCCAAGGTGGGAGGTGAGTCCAACTGCACCGGCCGAAGATTCCGGGATCCGCGCAAACACATCACGCTGGACCGGAGTAGGGCAAAACTCAATTTTCATCGAACCCAAGACATAACACAGCTGTATGCTTCTCCAGTCTTCGCGGCTTGAAGAGAAGCTATCCGCTTGTAGAGCGACTCCGCGTGATTGCCCAAACCACCAGTGGTAGAGAATATGGCCGGAACAAACGACGAATGCTCTATGTCGCGGACACGTTGCTCGTAGCAGCGCCGCTTCTCCTTCTCGTGCTTGGTGTAGCAGGAAGCAATGGAGGTGGCGCGGTTTGAGGTCGCAACAACTAGTACCTCATAGTTGGAGTACATGTACTACTTTACTACAGTCATTTCTTTTGCAAGTACACTGTGAGGCAGGGAGTAGTAAAATACTCCCTGCTGTGAGGTGTAAAATATAGACAGCTTCCAAGAAGAGGAGAAAGAAGTCTTTCAAATGAGTGATACCACGGCCACTGGCACGTGACAAAACAGGTGATAATAACAATGATTGCTAACAGGGAGCAGTACAATACCAGTGGCTTTATCTTCTCTATACACATGCAAAGGTGAATCAGTTGGATCTATTCAACCCTGCGGCCAAAGCATGGTTGCTCGGATCAGGGTCAGGATTCAGCCAGTAGTTGATAGTAAACGATCAGAGCCATAAACACCGAAACTTGGAACTGGAAATGTTGAGTTCGCACATTTTGCACACAATCATAATAACTATTATGATTGTGTGCTTATAATTATAAGGTCCAGATGAGGAAATGACAGCAAAAAAATTGGATATTGAAGGATAAATGTAAAGTAGACGGTTCTGACCAGGGCAGGGAGTAGTACTACTCCCTGGTTGAGATTGATCAAAAAGAAAGGAAAAAACCTCAGCTCAGCGAGGAAAGCATTGCGTGGGTTATGTACTCCTGATCACGTGCAACAACAGACAAAAAAAATGATATCACCAGTCAGAACAGCACATAGCACTGTACTGTGCAGCTCTGCAGTTCACACAATCATACCCTTACTACCACTACCACTAGCACCAGCAACACAAACAGGATGGCTAACTTACTACCCAACAGAGATACAGCGTACCTGAATTCAATAGGTCAAGACAAGAGGACAAAAAAAGGAAAATTTCTGATAAAAGACAACAGCGGGACTTCACGATGGAACAGACTTGCATGGCAGTATTATGTACATGTATAGCTGTACATGTATAAAAGTAAAGCACCACAGACGTGTTGCATGGCTGTATAAGATATGCTATGCGCTGGAATAGAAAATAACACACTACTTGGTAAACCTATTGGCTGGGGAAAGATCAGCATTTGGCGAGAGCCGACAGTTCTCCTTAAAACATCAAAGGTATATACAGGTAAACAAAAACTAAATGAGCCTAAACACACACACACACACATACACACACACACACACACACACACACACACACACATACACACACACACACACACACACACACACACACACCACACACACACCACACACACCACACACACATGCGCGTGCACACAGCTAGATAGAAAAAATAGTGAAAAACATCACACATCCTCGGGAACACTGCCGCTTTCATCGCGCGGTGGCCGGTTTCGACTGCTGCGTACTATTGAGGTAGTCGTCAAATTCCCCAGAGTATTTCGCTGTCACTTCTCCAACAACAGACTGCAAGGCGTGGCGCAGTTGCACACCAATAGTTTGATCATGTCTGTTAACACAAACACACACACACACACAGTCACAGACCCGAACACACACACACACACATCAGAGTAGAGTAAAGCTAAAACGGATGCGCAAAGGACAGGTCGGAGCAAGCTACCACCCCCCCCCCCCCCCGAAAAATTAAATGAAGCAGTTCAGGCTATGTCTATAAGCTGAGTTAGTAAGTCCAGAATGAAAAAAAGTACTGTCCGCCGATTGAGAAAAGCAGTAAAAACCCAGGCAGTTGGACTTCACCGTTGGAGAGTTCATGCAGAAGTGACCCCCCGCACACACACACACACACACACACACGCGCGATGACACACGAGCGTCCAGTCCAGTTTTGAGTTTCAATGTGCTTCCCCAGAAAAGGAGTTGACAAACCATCACAGGACACTGACCTTCTAAGCATTTCCGCAACTGACGATATAGTGCCCACATCAGCCTCGAATTCCTGACAAGCAAACGTTTGCAAGAGAATAGGAGAAACAGTGAGAAACCTGCATACACACTACATACCAAGGTGTCTCCAGTTCCCGGAACCAACAGAGAGTGCATTGAGAGTTGCCATAGCAGCGATGATGCGTACACAGTCGCCACACTGTGACACACATTTCCCATAGGAGGAGCTGTACTGCCATTAAATTTAATGATCAGATGGGCATTCACTGCTAGGAGGGAGAGGAGCAAGAATGCGGATTTCAAACACACACACACACACACACACACACACACACACACACACACACACACAGACACACACACACACACACACAGACATACACACACACACACACATTAACTACAACACACAGCAGCTTGCGGTTAGGAGGGTGCTGGCCAGCGAAGTGAGAGGCTACAGAGAGAGCAGGATCTTGGCGGAGCCAAGAGGATAGTCACGTCCAAGGGACGAAGACCGAGAGCCCTGAGTAGCCGGAAATGAGCATGGCCAACACCCCTTTATTTACTTTATCAAAGTAAATGAGAGATGAGAAATGGGAGGTGGGTGGGTGAAACACAATGATCTGACAAGAGTGATCCGCACATAGAACGAATCGAAATATAATACACACTACGAGCAAGGAAGAATGATTGTCGCAGAGAACGGATCGAAAATATATAGCAGAGCAAACTCTAGCAAGACATGCAACAATGCATGCCACCCACGTTAAGCTACGAGCAAGCGTCATCATAACGCAGCCACACGCCTTCCACATCGGAGGCGAGCGACACGCATGAACGCCAAACTTTAGTATGACACGTTGAGTGCCTACGACACATGCCGCCTACGTTGAGCGTCGCGCATGAATGAATGTCGCGTTGAGTGTCACGTTGTATGACACATAGAATGCCACGATGCATAGAGTACCATGTGAGCACGTACAGCGCACGTTCATAGCAGCATAGTTTGAGTGGTAGCACGAAGCAGCCGCGTGCACCCATTAATCTGCATTATTACTATAATGCTACACACACACACACATACACACACACTCCCACACACACATGTACTCATAAACATAGCAGGCTAGTGCTAGCACATGTTCAGTACCTGCTGCATATGATGTCGCTTCTGTAGCGCGTCTTGCTGCAGTGCTAGCGACAACGTGGACGGTATAGCCAGGTCTAGCTGAGTGGAGGGCAGCGGTGGGAGATGTGCGGCCTGGTCATCGCCAACAGCTTCATCCACCACGACACCCTATCACATGCGCACAGCAAATCAGAGTATGAAATACAGTGTACACAGGACACGGGGGCATAGCTCACACACCTGTGGTGTAGTGACCCAAGGCTGCGTTCGTTCTTAGCTACCTGTTAGAGTAGAGTAGAGTCACTCTACCGATAGAGGTAGATGGTAGAGGTACTAGTAAGTGTACAAACGCTGTTCTACCGGATTTAGTAGTTTACACGATATGTATGCGAAATGTTTCTCTTCTGTATGGAGTTGCGTACAAATCCTTGATCTTGCTGGAAATCCCGTAGCTCTACCAACTTTTTCCTGGTAGAGCCGGTAGAGGAAAGTAGAATATACCCTTTTTGAGTAAAAAAACCCGAACACCTCTACCGAAAGAAGTAGTTTCTACCCAAACCTGTAGGATACCTACTTCATCAGCGACTCCCTATTACGTGCATGCAGCAGGTCTGCTGTCTACACCACACAACAATGCCGCCCCCACATCGTGGACATTATGGAAAATATTGGCCTCGTGCAAACATACGCGAACACTGCGAATACGTAAAAACAAAGGGAGGCGTACGAAAAACCCAGCCACCAGTAGGCAAATATGTCTGCAGCAGTGTCAAAGGCGCTGAGCTGCATGGCTGTCAAGGAGTTATTTCCACACAAACCTGCTTGCCACATGTGTATGAGCGCAACAAACTGACAGTGATAATACACCGACGCCAAAGAAGTATCCAACTCACCACTTCGGTGGCGGCAACCATGGTCTCCTTGCCGATCACTTCCGGGTCGGTAACATGAGCATGAGGGATTTCAGCAACCTCGGCAACCTCAGTGACCTGCGACATGCACACACACACACACACACACACACACACACACACACACACACACACACACACACACACACACACACACACACACACACACACACACACACACACACACACACCATCATTACCAGCACCACCGCACCGCATAACAGGGTGTCATATTCTCTAATACGATGGCAGCGCACAGCCCATGCTAAAAGATTTCCCCGATTACAAGTCACATCTCCACTTTCAGGTCTCTTGCCACACTGATCCAGCATATTTACTTGAGTAACAATACTTAGTCATGCTCAACTGTTCAAATCCCAGTCTTAGAGCCTGAAGTTGAGTGTCCAAAAAAGGTGGCTGGTGTGATTTTCGAACATGTTTGGCTATCTGTGCAATGACATTGGTCCGATCCAGCAGATCATTGTGCAAAAAAACTGCAGCCAAAAATATTCAACAACTACAGAGTTATGGCTGCCTGAATAGCTGCCTTTTCAGCTCTCCACATAGAACAGTTAACGTTCAAATATGCATTTCTCAACAATGCGCACAACTATAAAAGCCACCGTTATCGGATCATAGTAGTGCCTATTTTTGTCCTGGAGGCCAAATTAACATCAGTGGTAAGAGCATGCAACAACAAGGAGCATGTTCACATCTCCATCAGCTGGCACCACAACATCAACTGTAAACGCCCACACGGTGCCCATCGCCTGAAAGAGACAAGGGTGAGCCACCGAACAACAGCTTACGTCCTGAGAGGCCCAGTCCTCGATGACGCGCACGAGCTCGCCCCCCGCTCCTCTTTCAGCAGGCTCCTGATCACTGCGATCATGGTGCTCGCTGCTGCTGTAGGAGTGATGGCGTCTCTTGCGCTTCTTGTGGCGGCGTCTGCGTTCTCTGCTCTTGCGCTCCTCCGATTCACTGTCCTCGGAGCGGCTGCGTCGCCGCGCCTTGTAGGAATCCTACAATGGGGCAGCGCAGCACAGTAGCACAGGTGATCTATTGGTCAAACGATGACGAGATATTTCACCCCAAAACGTAATCAAGTAGCGTGCTCCACTGCTCGAAGAGTGCTCAATACACAGATAGGGCAGAGCCATCCACACCCCATACATGTACGTGGAAAAGCCATTTACCGTATATTCTCTATTATAAGCGCCGTGCTTATATTTTTTCAACACCCCTCTACCCCGTGCTTATATTGGAGACCGTGCTTATATTTTTTCAACCAATACATCCATACAGAGCAAGAAGAAATACATGCTAGATATCATGCATGCCGCATTGATTTCCAACAGGACCGTGCTAATAATAGAGACCGTGCTTATAATGTTTCGAAAGGTGCTCACAGTGTGCTAGTATTAGAGACTGTGCTAGTAATGGAGACCTGTGCTTATAATAGAGAATATACGGTATCAACATCTGCGCATTGCACTACTGTAAAATAGGTCATAAAATGTCAACACAAAGAGCTCTAAATAACCGACGAGGAGACAACAGTCGTAAAATAGCAATGAAAAATATCAATTGTGCACTCATAACCATGTATAAACAATTAAAATGAAACAATTCCAGAACGTTTTCTTGTGACTATCATCAGTGGAACATCGTCACATAGTAAGAATCACTAAAACAACCAGTTATGTAGCTAGAGTAATATGAAAAGAAGCGTGAGAATGCAGCACAGCATATTTGTCCAACGCACTCACAGCTGCCACATTCATCTACTGCTACCATTCTCAGATACACTGCAAAGGTTCACACTACACGCGTTATGCATAACCGCTAGCTGTGCTGCATTCTCACGCTTCTTTTCATATTAGGCCATGGTAAAAAATATCTTTGATTCTCAAGTACGCGCGCACCGATTTTTGGTGGCGCACCGACGATTTTTTTTATTTCTATGCATGCATATGCGTGCATGAAAACGGTCAATGCGAAAGGCATGAATCCAGGAGTAGTAAAATACCGGTATTTTTCTACTCCCTGGCCTGAATAATAAAATAATTATAAATTAATTATGAACCTGTGACGTACACATGTGTGACCCTATCTTTGGAAATAAAAAAATTGTGGGAATTAAAATAAAAAATCGCTCGCTCGCACCGATTTTCACAGGCTCATGACCTGAGAATCAACTTTATTTTTTACCATGGCCTTACTCTAGCTATATAACTGGTTGTTTTAGTGATTCTTACTATGTGACGCTGTTCCACTGATGATAGTCACAAGAAAACGTTCTGGAATTGTTGAATTTTAATTGTTTATACATGGTTATGAGTGCACAATTGATATTTTTGTCTCTTTCCCTCAAAACCAGTTGCTATTTTGTTCATTGCTATTTTACCAAGTGCTGCTCTGGTGTTTGTTTAACAGATTTCACGGTTTGCTATTATTTATTCAACATCTCCTGGCTCGTCGTAAGACTGACAATATTTATGAGAAGTCGAGTGGTAGCCAATCACGGGGTTACTGGCAAGCAGATCAGCAGCAACATTAGCAGCAAACACACACACACACACACACACACACAAGAGTAACAGCAACTGCCAGCAGTATTACAACAGCAACAACAGCGGAAAGAACGGCAGCAGCGAAAAAAACTGCAGCAACAGCAGCACACATTTGCCCTAAAGCAAAGGCCAGGGTTCGTAGCACAACATATACACAAAATTTCAGGGGATTTCCAGGGGCATTTCAAGGGTATTCACAGATGTCATACAGTCGCTAGACACCACATATCCGTAGCCAAGCAGAGGTTCACTGATTCAGAATGTCAATAATCGAAGATTTGATCATCAACAAAATACTACAAGTAGTAGAGACACCGTCACGATCGAGCTTCTCCATCGCTAAGTTCTTAGCGAACTAGTCAGTCTTTGTACAGGTCCAAAGACAACCAGCGATCGTTGAAAACACACTTGCCTTTCGGCATGGATAACAAGTAAGTAAAGTAAAGTAAGTAAATTATCGTATCCGTTCCCGAAGGGAACTCACGGAGAACAAGTACAACTCTGTAAAACGTCTTCGGCATTCCGAAAAAAAACTGAAGACACTTTGTCTTGTTGAAGGCCAGAACAAACAAATAAAACAGAAAAGCAGTTGCAGTGGCGGATTCCAGTTTTGCTACAGTCAGGAATCGTCGTACCGCAGTCGATAGTCGAGCGTACATGGCGATCAAGGCTCAAATGTAAAAAATACTGTAAAGATCTACGTGAGCTGCGCTGGCCGCTGAGGCCGTCGGCTCACATGACCAGCACGGGTGACCGGACTGGCACTCGTAGATCTATGCATATCATGTAGATCTACAGTCAGTCGCTGAGTACGGAAGTCTACCAGGTCGCGTGATCTGGAAAACAAATTTCAGGGGATTCAAGGGACATTTTCTAATAAAATACAAAATTTGAGGGGATTTCAGGGAATTCCCGGGGGAAGAAAAACTTTCAGGGTTTCAAGGGTTTTCAAGGGTGCTACGCACCCTGAAAGGCAGCAGCAAAATCACACCCACAATCGCCCACCCACCCACATATGTACATAGACATACATGATGCATAAGACACATGCACACTCACCACCGAGCTGCGGCTGCTGGAGCGCGAGCGTCTGGATTTACGGCGCGGAGATCGCGACCGTGGTGACCGACTGCGCGATTCATCACTTGTATGCCGTGAGTATGATCGCCGGTAAGGGGAGCGAGATCGAGACCTGGACAGCGAATGACTACGCGAACGTGACCTTGAGTAGGACGAGGACTTTCCTACGCGCTGGTGCGTACGCTCCTCCTTTTCACGGATCCTGTTCTCGATGTAGCGTGCGGCTGTCTTCGGCGACATACCTCGCACCTTCTCGGATTCTTGTTCACCCCAGCTACGTCCCCGCTTCATCATGAACGGTTGAAAGTTGCCTCTGTGATTGGGCATACCGCCGCCGCGGAAGCCACCACGCCCTCCGCCGCCACCGCCAAAGTGTTGAAAGCGATTGTTGTGGAAGTTGTTGTGCATCATGGGGCCGTCCTGGCCTATCAGGTTGCCAAGCCGACGGCTGCGGTATGGCGACGCACTGATCCGACAACCGTTCACTTTGCTGCCGGTCCTGCACATGGGAAAAAGGGGGGATATTATTATTATACGCATTCCCGCGTTGAAGTGTAGCAGCAGTATGCTGCGTCCACAGCTTCGCTTATGCAGAAAAGGGGGGATAACAAAACAAAAAGCTGTTTTACAACAGAGAAAGGCCATACAATGGCACCAGAATGTGTAACTGCGGGAAGAAAGAATTATGTCCACTGGACGGAGCGTGTCTAACGGAGAGCATCGAGCAAAAGGCGAGAGTCACCACAGGTACAGAGAAGAAGGAATATACTGGATTAACAGCAACAACATTCAAACAATGCTACTATAACCACCAATCATCATTCCGCCACAGACAACACGAGAAGGACACCCGCCTATCGAAGTATGTCTGGGCAAAGAAGGATGAAGGGAAGGCATGCAGCATTCAATGGGCAGTCCACCGCAAAGCAGTGGCCTACAGCAACAAAAGCAAAAGGTGCAACTTATGCCGGGCGGAAAATTGGCAATCGCGCAAACACCCAAGCACCTCTCTCTCTCTCAACAAGAGGAGTGAGCTTGTATCAAAGTGTCGCCATGAGAATAAGTACTATCTTCGGAACTTCAAACCATCCACAGGCATCACCTAATCAAGTAGCAGACAACCAGCTCCAGTGCGAGTCACTTGAAGTAGTATCTTTCACCACTGCTGTCATTCACACCTTTCAAAGTCATGCCGTGATGCAATCTTTCACAACTGCTGTCATTTACACTTTTGCTTTGTGAGTATATAAACCAGTGCATGTATGCTGAGGTACTCATTACTGTTTTCTGATGATCGCTTAGTGCGTGAAACTCGGAGTCAAAAACACTTTTTTCATCCTCTTACCAGAAGTGCAATGCTGCGCAAAGCTGAGATCGGTTTACTACTGGTTTCGTTGGCACGTGTGCTGAATCATCGGAATGTTGTCTGAACCCTTTACCTTCTGTGTGTACATGAATCGACCAAATTTGGTCGATAGACATGCATGCACTAAAACATTCGTAACTCGATCAATTCTTGACGGAATCTCAACAACTAAGGTTGCGTTTGGTTGGGCATTTTCAGAATGTAAATGAGAACCATCCTGGAATGGGAATCGGTATATATTCTCAGAATGAGGTGAGAAATATCGCATTTGGAAATGCCTGGAAATTTTGGTCAGAAGGTAAAGGGTTAACCCTTTATTACCGGCCTGCAGACTTTCGATCATATATGATCGAAAGTCTGCAGGCCAGTAATATCTTCGTAACTCCATCATTTCTTGTGCGAATGCAACAATCGAAAGGTCTATTTGGTAGCGGAAACTCCTAGCTATCCAATGCAACAATCGCCGAAGAGTTCCGATGTCGGACACCAGAGATATCGGGCGCCGTATTTTCACCTCGGCAAATCAAATTTTTGATCGATCACTTCGCCATTTTTGGGGAAAATCCCTTTTCTTGTGCTCTTTGAGCGACTAAGCACGTGATATTGACGTAGTCAGCTGAAGTTTGAATCGTCTCAAACAAATTTGAGCGTTCTACGATGAAGGAGAGTGGAATGGCGTTGATTGGACGAAATTGCTTGCATATCAGGCTTGGAGACGACTTTGCTGTGTTACCGCGCCTGATTTGTGGCGACTGGATAATGGAGCTTGGTACCCTAGCGTTGCTCTTGCCAAGAGCTTTCCAACGAGCCCTAGATTGTGAAAATCAAGTGAAGGAGACCAAAGTTATGACCTGGTGAAGTTGGAAATTGTGCTGAAATTCGTAATCCTGGTGCATGCTGTGCAAGTAATCCGGTAATAAAGGGTTAAGATAGCAAGAAACTCGACAACCTACCAGACACGATGGCAACACACAACGTCGAACTAATGACGTTCATAAGTGTTCACAAGCACGCGCATACCTTACATGCGAATCCAAAGTGCAACAAGTACTTTGCAGTGAGATGACAGCTTAATAACAAGTGACATACATGTAAACAAACAGCCTAGGATCAACCTGGCCTGACATCACCACAGCCAGCCTCCCACTCACTTGGACATGGCAAATTGGGCGTTCTGGCGAGACGTGAACTCCATTGTAACAAACGTTTTCTCATTGCTATATGACCGGGAGCTGGTTACCACCCGACAGCTTCCAACTTCATCCAAGAAAAACTTCCTATTACAGAGGAAGAGAGGGAAAAAGGTAGAAGGCATTTGATTTGCTTCTGGACCGAGCAATGGTATTACTGTAGCATGGCCAATGTGCCAAACTTCAGCTGAAAAGAGAGGGGACATGTGTAGTGGCATACTTTGAGTAGCTTTCAAGAAGGAGAAGCAACAACAGTCATTGATGTCGAATGCAACGTATACATGCAACGTATACACACAACGTATACACACAACCGAATGTGATGCTGATGCAGCTCAATACTAGTGGATAAGAAGGGCAACACGGTGTCGGCAGTTATCCGATATTATCAACTGTTTTTTTCAATCCGTATTAATTTGAAAAAGGTTTCCCGTCCAGACACCCCGTAGGATGAATGCTCTGAAGTGCAAAACTGCAGAAGAACTGCACATTGTGCATCACAACGGTTTCACTCCATGACTGCAACTGATTCGTGATCAATACGGATGCAAATTAAAGCTTGATAACAATGGAGAGCCCATATCACCTGTAGCCTGGGGAGAAATGTTGAACAAAAGCAGCCAAACACGAGTTCCTTGCCCATTTGGTATACTTACACATGGACAGCGACTGTAACCAAGAAATATTTTCAATGCACCCATCGTCATCGTCATAATGGTATACGGCACTCTTTTCTCTCGAGTATTGTACAAAGATGCCCGTGTGAGCAAAACTAATGCAACATCCTGTGAAAGGTGTTGGTATATATATCTGCACTGCTCCGTGTGGACACCTCGAGTAGTGCATGTGTTGATCGTATACTGGGCGCCAGGTTGTGCCGACAGAGCAAGACACATGTGGACCTCAAGATGTGGCTCACTTTGACAGAGACATTCGTGTCATAGTACCCTGGTCAGAAGGAACACAGCGCTGGACATTATCATTGCGCGGTCAGGCCGCAGTACATCCCGCCAGCTCAACATTGTGTGCATGCGTGGCACGGGCAATGAGACAGAGACAGACAGTGGTGTCACCAAGAAGGAGGGGTGGACATTCACACCGTTTTTTCCGCTTCACGAGCCCAATGGTGAGTTGCTTGTGTGCTTGTATCCATTGTGGCACGGATGGCAGCTCCACAGTGGACAGTTGGAGATTAGACAGGTTAACATGTGTAAGTTAGTTCACCGAGCCACGTATGCTAATTTCACACGTTGTACAAACGCACGCTAGTTGCAACGTGAATGAGATTTTTAGACGGAAGCCGGAGTGGAAACCAAGCTTCCCGTTCATATATGGTCAGTTCCACAGCTGGCGAGGTCCATAGAAGCTGCACCGTTGAGCAAGTGGTGTGCATGCTCAAAACATTGTCTTGCTGTCTACACTGCAGCAATCTAAACAATATGCCACATGCAACCAATAAGCCCATGCTTTCCTCTACCCGAGAGTGTGAAACGGGCACAATGTAATTATCACAAAATGACATCACATGGTTTATCTTGGAGTTAATCAAGAGAGAGAGAGAGAGAGAGAGAGAGAGAGAGAGAGAGAGAGAGAGAGAGAGAGAGAGAGAGAGAGAGAGAGAGAGAGAGAGAGAGAGTGAGTGAGAGAGAGAAAGAGAGAGACAGAGAGACAGAGAGAGACAGAGACAGAGAGAGAGATAGAGAGGCAGAAAACATATACCCAATATGCAAAAGGATTCATCCCAGCAGACTGAATAGTACATATGCATCAGTTCCGGTACCATGGCATGTGGCCTGAAAGTAAGTATTCAGATTCGTCCTGAAAACACCATACACAAGGTACAGCATGTAGATCTTTGACGCTTTGAGCTGAGTGTGCCCATTTTATACTTGAACTCAATTGTTTTCGGTCGGTTTTGACTGTGCACGCACTCATAACTCGGTCAGGCTTCGGCAGAATCTCACGATCGGAGTATTTAGAAAGAAGCTGAACAGTTCGGCTTTCCAACGCAACACTTATCAAAAGCTATGGTGTAGCATTGCAGTGAATATCGTGTTCAACATTTCAGTCAAGGCAAAGTCAAAATTTGGTTCTCGTTGGCTGACCCGAGCGAAGATTTTCCTCTCCACTGACGTACAAAGCTATCTAGGCATGAAGAAATTGTGCGTACTATAATCCCGTGGTTTGAAAACACAATGCTGGGATTTGTCAAACGCGAGTTTTGCTCACATGTAAAATCAATGACAATATCGCATAGTACCGTTGATCCCCCACGCCGTGCCGCTTCCTAGCTGGGTTTTCGGCAGGGGGCGGGAAGACTGTCAAGGGCAGTACAATGTACAGCATTGGAAAGGTGCGACACAGTGTGCTGGATTGTGCACATTTTCATCCCGCACTGGCACATATTCTGCACAGCAGTGCATGCGTCGGTTCAACACCGTACTTCATTGTAGACGCCGAAGTCGCTTCACAGGCAGACATTTGAGAGGGGGCGGATCAACGGTACGTTACGGTAATTAAAATTCATTTGTGCTTCTGTTCAGAGGGTTGGTGCCTGCATGTTCATATAATAATGTGTATGGGATTACGTTCCAGGGACGATTCAAGGTGTTCTGGCGTTGGGTATGCGACACGAGTGATGCTAAACTCGGGACTCGCTCTCTTCTGTTCGTAAAGAACTTTCCAGGAAGAGCAAGATTGTGAACATCTGCTGATCAGATCAAAAGATATGCCCAGAGACCGGTTTGAAAAATGTTAGGCTCTGTGTAGTCCACGGCATGCTTCTGGTCATAAATAATGGGTATTAAACGTGCCTTTATGGCTTGGGGCTCCCCGTGTGCTAGTTTGTACGTGAAGTGTGTGGGTTAGAGTGAGGGCTGCGTCCCACCCGCCTGTGTGGACTCGCAGGAAGCGTGAGTTACGAAGTCTGAAGAAAATGTTGAACGGTCTCTGCTGGGGTGACAGCTACACCGTAGCTCGGTGGTTAGAGCATCGCTGGCCTCTAGCGAAGGTCCCTGGTTCGAGTCCTGGTGGTGACAGTCCATTTTTTCTTCAGACTTTTCCCATTTGCATCTTTCCCTCAAACCAGTAAACATGCTATGTTGTTCATTAGACTTCGCAGCGACCAGCTCAGTCAGTCGCTCTGAGCACTGTGGACGAGGCGTAACAAGATCAATGTACAGTTACAAGTAGCTGTCTGCAGATTACTACTAACTTATTCGCCAAAAATCCGGCCAGTGCCGTACATGGTTGTCGACTACGATGCATGCAGGATTGGCCAGATTTTTTGGCAAATATTGTAGCAGATGATACTAGATAATCACGTGATTGGTGTCAGTACTCTTTGGCATGTAGTAGTCGTGTTAGACAATCTTTACAGACCAATTTGGCCACACAGGGCCGTGTTGGCTTTTCCCTGAAAGCACCATGGAAAGAACTGTGTTCACGGGGGCCAAATGCGAATGGTGGCGCCCTTCAAGAGTATGTTTCTATGAACTACCTCTAAGGGAGCCTCCGGGACGTTGAGAATTGCTGAAGACATTCCGAAAAGCAACAAATCCGTAAAAAAGACATAATGGAGAACAGAAACAACAAACGGTTCTCACCTCACAGCCTCTGGCCGACATCGATTCTCATCGCCATTGATAACACAGAATACCCCAAGGCCTTGGGCTGGCTCAGGTGTACTAGCCATCACTTCTCCGATGGGTTGAAATGGTACAAACCAGCCAGTTGCAGTTGAGCACCGTGATAGAGGTTGTACGTTCACTGAATTGCACACTATTCACGATTGTTGCACTTGCCGAGTGAGTCCAATGGCAATGTACGAAGAGTTGAAGAGTTGAAAGTAAAAAAATTGCTGTGATCCACGCGCTGTACTACTTGGGCAGAAGCTACTGTATGTCCACCAGGCCTCACCGGCTTCAGTCCAGCTACTCTTTGTTGCAATGCTGGAGGATGTCCGGTAGTATCAGTTCACTGCTTGCAGGAGAGCAAGCGTTGAAACCATCTGTCTCAAAGAAATCAAAATCGTCAAACACTGAAATCTGGGCACACCAGCTCAGGTCGCTTCTCATCGAGGCCTTGGTTATTAGAGAAAACAGTGCATTGTCTAGCAGAAATGAGCAAGGATCTAATCTTAGAAGGAAAGGAAGGCAAGGAGCAAGGCAAGCTGATTAGCTACTCAGTAACCAGTTCAACATAACTTCCATGGCCATAAGGCATAAACATGATAAAAATGCATAATAATAATGGCATGAACCATGCTGTGACGTGACCATCAAAACTTCATCTGACATTTTTGGCAAAAAAAGGGATCAAGATTTGTAAATGTAGCTGACGTCATGACCGGTGGTCGACCGTAGCCAGTAGCAACGTTACGTCGTTATGTCAGAAGCTGAAAACCCCATAATATATAGCAATAAAAACTGCTTTATGGCAGTTTTCTAAAAAAAGTTATTGTGTTCTAGTCCATGGACCCCGTCTAAAAAGTAAGAAATTAACGAAATGTGATAGCCGAAAATTAAAATTTCACACAAAACCTCACAATAATCACGACACTTGAAGATCCTATAGTACGGCACTTGTTTATTCCGACACTTGTACTTGTACAAGTACATGGACTGCGCCAACATGCTTGCATGTGAAAGAGGACCACGAGGGGAAAAGGTCGTCTCGCATCCTGTGTGTGATTATTGTGAGGTTTTGTGTGAAATTTTAATTTTCGGCTATCACATTTCGTTAATTTCTTACTTTTTAGACGGGGTCCATGGACTAGAACACAATAACTTTTTTTAGAAAACTGCCATAAAGCAGTTTTTATTGCTATAATTTCTTTTGTTTTTTTGGCTCAAGGATATTATTATTATTATTATTTTATTTATTTTACTAGGGTGTTTCCCACAGACCTATGGTCTTCTTACGGGAGCCCCTATGTACTACATGTACGTGTATCATATCAAATTCAATACCGTATTATACGCATTGATGTGCAAGCCTTTTCTTGCGGAAAATGGAACTAGTCTTGCGTATGATGACAGATGTACACTGTATTCAGGTTCTTCTGCCGGGGAATCATATGGGTAGTGCAGTGGCGGTGATAATAATAATAATAATAATAATAATAATATCTTTATTAGGATGACCCGATACCTTTTTTATACGCAGGTCATTCTGTGGATGTTGCAGAATTTCATGACTCTGTCATAAAATTGTCTTGTCTTTCAGAAAATTCAGATGTCCACACCCTAAATCACATTTACATGAGAATTGTAACCAGGTGCGTGCCGCAGATGTTTTTGTTGATTCTGTGTTTATAATTGTAGTCATGGGTTGTCGTGATAAGGTCATCCGGCATCATATTGTAGTGAAATCGTAATCCTGTTGATGTCGATAACACTTTTGGAAGCAGTTCAATGACTTCAAAGTGTTACAAGTCCACGATTGTCTAAAACAACACAGCAAAGTAGGAACAATAAACATGTATTAAAATGTAAACAAATACATTGCTGAGTCCGACACCTTGTTCCAACAACTACACTGATCCTGAGGATATAAGGGGCAAGGATATATGGTTGGAGGTACTGAGAGATAAACAAGGCACTCCATAATAATAAAATGTTACACGACTTTGGGGGAGTATGAATGATATCCAGTCAAACCCCCTTAGGACGAACATGAAGGGACCGATGGCATTTGCTCTGTGAGTTTGTCTTAACCCTATTTTATAACGAGTGAATACAATTATTTCTCCAATAGAGACACGAATAGATTTCTTCTAAAGCGAAAGATTCTAAGCCAGACCAAACCATTGACTCGTCTTTTATGAAACAAATGAGTCACTGAACCTTTCTTTAGGAACATGACGGCAACTGAAACAACAACAGAGAAAATACGATACATGTACAGCACATTCTTGCAGGTACAACAAACAGATTGCAGATCGTAATTCTTGCTCTACCGGCACGCAACTTTATTTGGGGCAGTGCAATCTCAGCGCTACTCACAAATCAAACAGCCCAGACTCGAGTAAACAAATCCAATCGTACGAGATTTTCACGAGACGAGACTGCACCCAGTAGGGAGGTTCTGCTCTACGTTTTGGGAACGCGACGCAAAGAATCACGCGAACTTTCTTCGCGTTCCCGTAACGTAAAGAAATGCTGTTCTGCTCTACGTTTCACCTAGAGAAGTCACGTGGAATGTGTACTGGGAATTTTCCCTTCCATATTTGGCAGTTTTCTGCATGCAGTTGATCGATACCCAGCAAATTTTCTCTGCGTGTGCCACAACGTAGAGAACCCCATCTCCGCGTAGAAATCTGGAGCCAAAACACGCGAAGCCGTAGACTCTAACCCAGACACCTGCTCTCTACGTGATTTCTTTACGTTTCACGTATAGCAGAACCTCCCTATTGGCTTGTTTCGTATGAAGCAAACAAGTCACTGAATGCATGAACCTCTCCATAATGGAGATTTTCCCTGATATGCGAATTTATCTTGCATACTAGTCCTGGGCCAATGCGTCCTTGAACCTTCCCCTACAGATTGGGAACTGCCAACGATGCTATGCCACTGCAAAATTCAGATTCTACCCTATGATCGGGGCACGGAATGCCGGAAGCAATCATGACCAGTGCCTTACTTGTAACGTACCAATGTACAATGAACATGAGTATTTCGACAACACATCTAAGCCTCAGCAGCAACATACAATGTAAGCCTTACCGTCAAGAAGGTGAACTCGCGTTCTTCGCACACTGTTGGCAAGGGCAAAGAGATACGAATGGATCTAAATCCGAATAAAATCAGCACACGTTTCCGTAAATGAAAGGGTGAGCATAAGCAAATGAATCGAAGGAAACTGGTCAACTCAGAGATCACTTGTCATTGAGTATTCCGTAAAAGGAGGCCTCGACAGCAGAAAAGCTAAATTTAGAAAAGAGATCCTGTCAGCTTTTCCATTATTTATTGTATTCCACCTAAAATCAGCACACTTTTCGTAAATGAAAGAGTCAACACAAGCAAATGAATCAAAGGGAACTGGTCAACTCACCTGTCATTGAGTAATATTCCGTGAAAAGAGGTCTCAGCAGAGCCGAAGCGAAATAAGCCAGGACACGAAATATCCGAAACAGCTCATGCAAGAAGCAGTTCCAAAGAAGGAAGTTCCTCGCGCATGCACATCCGAAAACGGACTGCATTGCATGCAACACAATGTCTGCCGTGCACGTGCACAGCACGCGGCTACCACCCGTTGGTAGATCTAATACCGAGCACCTTACGTAGAAACTTACGTAGCCTAAGTGAAGTACCGAGCACCTTACGTAGAAACTTACGTAGCATAGCGGTGTCGTTTTTTCTGCCATGTGAACACAATAATAGAAAAGCTGACAGGATCGCTTTTCTAAATGCACCCGTTCCGGCCGCGGGCCGGCCGCCCGCCGGTACGCGGTGCGTGAGCGTGCATACAGTACGAAGCGTTAGCTGTGACGTACACGTACAGTACATATATGTACAAAACTACATGCACACCGTACAGACGCACACGTGCGCCGGCGCGACGCGCATATATATGCGCGCATGCAGCCTAGCCACTCCAACACGTCACCAGGGCGACGAACTAAGCGCGGGAGGCCGCGGCGCGGATATGGATATGGGAAAGCTGGACACGTTGTGCATGAGATTGTGTAGCTGGGTAGCTACGGGAAATGCAGGTTGCATACATATTGTGGGTAAAAGCGTAGCATTGCGTACAGACTTTAGTACGATACTGCATCATCGGCTGTATTGCTGTCTTTCAAGCGCGCATGCGCTCCATCCGATAGGCGTACGATGCAGTGGCTTGCGGTTTGATTGCAAGCAACAGACAGACAGAAATCACCTTCGCTTCGTTGCACTGTGACACCAACTTCAGTTATTTTCTTTCCAAACAATTTTGATTTCTTCCTCCACTTGCAACCATGGGTGTTGACCGTGAATCCATCTCAGAGGCTTACCATGATGTCCGTGACGATAACACCCCCAGCGTATGGTTAGTTCGCGGAGAAATGCTGGTCTGGAGTTGAGGAGGAAGCCTCAAGGAATTAATTCCCTTCTGTCTCTTTGCTCTCGGCAGGGCGGCAATCGAGTACCACGATGATGGATCACTTGCCTGCAAGCGAAGCGGCAACGACTACGCGGAGGCCATTGCACTGTGCGAAGGTAAGCTAGTGACTCGAGTGTCTCTTCGACGTGCCTTCACTCTCTTGACTTGTGAGTTTTTTTCAAAATATATTTCTCAATCCTTATTATCATTACCATGTAGAGGCAAACCGTCTCTATCTCTTCGTTCGCATCGAGACCGGCGATGAGCTGAGCCGGAGAGCAAAGTTCGCCCTGATCACATGGATCGGCGAGCGTGTCTCCCCACTCAAGAAAGCAAAGATGAGCACCGACAAAGCCTCCGTCAAGGAGGTGGTTCAGGTAAGCTCACATTTGATCACACTTCTCACCGACTGCTTGCTTTCGTGCCTTGGTCTCTAGCCGTGCAACCATCAACAAAAACCGAATCGGACACTTGGTCTACGGATGTTGAGGTTCCGCTCACTTCCTTCACAGCTTGTCACAGAAGTGCGCCAATTTTAGCCATGCTGTGGCTGTTGCTCGTTGGCACAAATACTGGCACTACCCACCTTCTCCTGACACGGTTTCAAAGTACATTACACTTGGACGTCGTCCTAACCTTGCCGCCTCAGCTCGAGAACAGTGTTATGTGTGACAGTGGCAGCTCAGTGTCTTTGTTCGCCCCTTGGCCTAGGCCCTGTGTCCCGGCATTAGTGTGGCAGATCTAACAACACTTGGCAAAAGTGAGCATGCACTATCGATCTCACACTCGAAAAACGCGCTCATTAAAAACTAGAAAAATAGTAATGTTGTAAAAAATCGTATTCCATAAAAAGCTTTTTGGTACGAATTTTTAATTTTGTAAGTCTAGATGCTCCTGCTGGTGTTCTTGGGGCGCGTTTGGTTGGGACTGCACCTGTTCTGGGTCGGCCAGAACATATTCTGCTTGCCCCGGCCTCAAGGACGTAGCAGACCGAGCAGTTTCACTTTTTCACAGTGAAACCTGGTGGGAACATCGACTTTGGTCCCAAATGATCACGTGCATACGCTTTTGGGGTGGACTCGTTGTACCGTACAAAATGACCATCGTGACCCATACACATTTTGAAGAATGCACCAAGTTTGGCACATTTCGCCACAGAAACGTACTCCGTTTCTAGAGAACCGTTTGGTTGGCATGAGGCTGCTCCATGTGCACCAGCTGTTCGATCCTGTTCCAGATCGTACCAACCAAACGCACCCTCAGTAACCGGATATATTGCATGGAAATGTTACCAGTACTGGCTGTAACTGGATGAACCCACTGACTGTACTGAAAGCCAGCTGCCACAAAGATGCCAGAGTACACTACCTTCACGTCTTGGTTCGCTCTTCAGTTCAGGATGTGCATGTACTGTCGTGGACATGGAAATCCATTTGAAAGACCATGGCCCGCCCCTCAGTGCGTACAGAACATTGCATGCAGTGCACATGCAAGATCCGATGCGACCAGCGCTGCAGCGAATATATCTACATGAATGTGTGTACCGTGCGCATACTCACGGCTGCATTGCCAGTGCCATTGGGCTGCTTGACCTCCGACTGGATTTCCATGTCCACAACAGTAGTTTTGATTGCAGCATACTCAGTTGTTCTTGTAAACAGTTAGAGTCCTGGCCCATCATTACTTGAATCGTGCTGGGCTTGCCACACGTTCAATGCTAAACTTGTATCATGCAAAACAGCAGTAACAACGTAACATAGTTGATGTTGTGGCATAAAATTCTCCAATTAGAGGGTGTGTTGGGGCACATCCAGTATCGAGTGTTGCACAGTAGGACACAGTTCTCGTCACACACAAAACTTGGGTGTACATGCACGACTTTGACATCACCCTGTGGTTTCCATCACTGTATTGGGCATGCCAACTTCATCTTTTGCTGTCTGTTTATCTACGATGTACAGAACTTTGCTAAGGAGCTTACAACATCAGAGAAGCCTGAGATCGAGTACGACTTCATCAAGAGAGAAGTACAGAAGGCTGGTGGTGCTAACTACGGCACTGGCCGTTAATTCTGGGCATAGCACGTGCTCAATTTTCTATCCGTGTCGTTGCTTGTTTTATTTGTTCTTATCTTATTTTTTACAAATCACCTCATATGCTAGTAGTAGTAGTAGTTATTTAATTTCCGCTTGTGTCGCTGTTCGTTGCCTAGTTTCTGTACATGTCTTTGTCGTGCCGTTCGTTGTCAGTTGAATCATATCCTTTTAGTGTCACCCTCTACTGGACCTTCCGCTATCTTTCAAAACAATCCTAGTCCGGGAGACTGGTTGATTTCTCACCTCAGTAACAATGAGCCGTCGTGCCATTGTGCGCTACTTCATCTCTGCTGGGCAGGCCGCGCTGTTAAGTGGCACTGTGATCTCTTTGGCTCGCTGTTGTTTGGACGCTACATGACGTGCCTTCACTTTTTTTAAACCACCTTCAGTGCCAGAGATAATGCACATAATCTACCCGTGTGCATGGTTTTTGTGTGTGTTGTGTCTACCAGCGTCGCCTGTGCCATGTGTGCATGTATTATGGCACAAGTTTGCTTTGCTTATACAGTTATAGGCCATTCACACATGCAATCACATCCACGAGTGTGGCCAGTAAAAGGAGTCACTCGCATTCTAAATTTATTCCAGTGGACAGGATAAATTGAGTTTGCACATCCGTCATCGTGTGAATGGCCTATATGATTGGCTGGGTTCTATGCAAGCCTGCTTGAAACATGAATGAAGGCCAGTTGGGCAGAGAATTGTTTGGCAAACAGCCTTCTGATGGCTCCTGGCCAAAAATTTGATTGAGATATTTCAATTTGCAGGGAAGAGACCACTTGATTTGAAGATTGTGTGTGTGTGTACGTAAAGGCCGATTCACAATACAACTTCTTGCGGCGACACGCGGTTCACAACAGGGAGTCGTAGAGTCGAAACTGTACTCCATTTGTGTATGTCGCGTGTCGCAAAAGTTGAACTTTCTTCAACTTCTGCTACAGGTGCCTTGCGACAACTCGGGACAGGCAGTTTCTTGTCGCAAATCGCGTGTCGCGTCGCAGAAAGTTTTATTGTGAATCGGCCTTAAGGTTTTTCAAGCCTATATGAGAAGTAAATTTATCAGGGAAATCAGTTTCCGTTGGCAAAAATGAATTCCGCCAAGCTTTCCGTAAAAGCACTGTTTGATTCATGGGAAACCTGGGGCAACGAGTGGCACGGTCAATACCGTAGCGTGTCCGACACCCCTGCACGTGTGCAGCCACGCATTGTGGCTGATGTACTGTGTACATTAAATCCCGCCAGAGCGCCCCGTCTCTCCTCCCTGACTTCTTGTCAGGGAAGTGTTTGATTGCATCCTCGTATAACTCTGTGATGTCGTACAGTACTGCAGACGCTTGCTCGGCCCTGTTGGTTGAAAATGTACGCAACAGTACCCACCCTCTTGACCAGGAATCGCACAAACCCTGAGTTTTGATGGGTCAGTACGAGTCGCTGCTCTTGACCTTTGGGCGGTGTACGAGATGCACGAACAGTTTTCGTAGGGTGAGTACTTTTTCATGCAGTACTGAATGCGGCAAGTAGGACTCGCCCATCCGCCCCTCCCCACCTGGACCTACTCGAAGGGTGGCAGTACTGAATGCGGCAAGTAGGACTCGCCCATCCGCCCCTCCCCACCTGGACCTACTCAAAGGGTGGCAGTACTGAATGCGGCAAGTAGGACTCGCCCATCCGCCCCTCCCCACCTGGACCTACTCGAAGGGTGGCGGCGGAGGTAGGGGCGCTCTGGCGGGATTATACGGTACATGCAGTAGCCACACTGGAACGTACCTGGCTCTGACCCGGTTGCTAGAGTTGTGCCATGTACACGTGTACCCGGTTGGTTTGAAATCCTAAAGCAGACACCGAGTACATGACTATACACCCTCTTTGGTCGTTCCTTAACCATGGGCCTTGTATCGTAATGCTACACTCATGTAGGCAAGGTTTTTGAATGGCATCACATGCACCACTTTGCCAATCAATATAAAACGCACAGTAAAATACTATTCGAACAAGCTTCATAAACCACTGTGGACAGAGTAGTGAGTGATGCAAAGGCATAAACCACCTTCAGTGCCAGAGATAATGCACGTAATCTACCCGTGTGCATGGTTTGTGTGTGTTGTGTCTACCAGCGTCGCCTGTGCCATGTGTGCACGTATTGTGGCACAAGTTTGCTTTGCTTATACTGTTATAGGGGTGTATATAGACTCTCTTCATAATGAAATCAGTCACACGAGTAGCATAATAATGATAGACCTGAAGACAAATCGGGACGAGTGTGGCATACTAGCCGGATTCAGCTGCTTCCGTGACCAGAGCCCAGTACAATGTTGTAGAGCTGTACGTTAGGCTTACTGCCACCAGACAGATCGAGCATGAACGCCATTGGGCGCCGCCGTAACTTGATCCTGGCACGATTTTCTACAGACAAACACCGACACCACAAGACACGCAAATTCTGTAAGAAGTATAAGCAACACTGGAGTATAAGCAACACGGGAGTATAAGCAACACTGGAGTATAAGTCACACTGCAGTATAACTATAAGCCACACTGGAGTACAAGCCACACTGGAGTATAAGTCGCGCCCAGTTTTTTTTGTCACGGAATACAGACATCTACCCGGTAAAGTCAGACCTTGCTTATCTGGTCCTATTTTATCCGAATCCCCCGCCATCCAGAAGAAAATCGTTGGTTGCCGGTTTGCGGCATATGCCATGCATACATACAGTATGTGTGTTTGATTACCGTAGTCGCGGATAAAAGCCGGGCTTATAAGCATATAAGCCGCTTTCTGCATCAGGCTTTAATGCAAACTAGGCTTGTATGCAAACCATGCTTATATGGACCACACTTGCATAGAAGCCAGGCTTCTACGCGCGACACGCGTAGATCTACCACTGACTACCGGTATGGCGGCAGCTTTACTAATACTATGCACCGTACATAGCGCATGCCCTCTTGACCTACCCGACCCGCGCTTGCATAGAAGCCAGGCATCTACGCGCGACAGGCTTATATGCATTTGACCCGTTTCATTTTCAGGCTTCTATCCGCAATGTGCTTGTATGCAAACCCGGCTTTTATCCGCGACTTTACGGTATCCGGTTCCCTCGCCTTTTCGGATATTTTTTGTGGAGAACGGATGTGTGCGGTTAATTAAGCGAGATCTAACTGTATATCACCGCTCATTTGACCATGGTAGTGTGAGCCGCACAGACCATGGTAGTGTGAGCCGCACAGACTTTTTTTGGGTGAAATGCGAGTGTTTAAAGTGCGGTTAATTTACTCCAGAGAATACGGTATTCTTTTTAAAACATGCTTTCTCTCCACCAGTATCACCAGTGCCCTTTTTGCATAAGATAATACCATCGATCCATGAATCATTGTGGCTGTGAATCTTGGACATAAGCTTGATTTTCCGACAAACGAACGTCGAACCGAAATTCGGAATGCAAAACGTCACTCACTATCTACCTGGCACATCAGTCTCCTCACAGCAAGGACACCCCGGAATAATCCAGCAGAAGCAAGTGGAAAAGCTAGGGCTTGGGGATACGTCTCAATAAAAGTCATATGACTACTGTAAACCGTGAAATTATTGCGATGGTCTAATTTCTGCGAAGTTCGCGTGGAGAAATCGCGAAATTTAGACAGCGCGAAAAGGAGATCCATGAAAGGTTTAGCAAGAATGCCACAGGTTTAGCAAGAATGCCATTCTGCAATCGCAAAATTAAAACCTCGCAAACCTGTCCGGATTCTGAAAACGCGAACAAAAACGCCACGAAAATTTCACGCTTTACAGTACTGGCACTTGTGCCGAAGCCCCGGAAGCCCCATCCATGTACCCTTTGTGTCAAAACACAAGTTACCGATCGACTCTCGGTGGCAGCACAGCTAAAACAACTACTCCTAGACAAGACATGAGCCAGGCATCTCTTGGTTCTCGCATACACACGCGCGCGCGCACACACAACACACATATGTGTGCAGTCATACACACACACACACATACACCACACACGCACGAGCGCGCACACACACACACACACACACAGACACACACACACACACACACACAAATACACACACGCGTGCGTCATCACTCAACACAGAGAACCAGGCTTACTGAAATCTGCCAGTCGGAGAACATCGTTGTCAGGTACAGAAAACGAGCGCTGGCGAAAGATGGGAGAGAATGTTGTGATGTAGTGTGTCTTAGCTTTGAAGTCATACTTCCACTTGGTCACAATTCTGGATCAAAGGCACAGGAAATGAACATCTTCACTCATTAGTTGAGCTCACATACACCACCTACACTTACTTACTTCCTATCACATTTTCACCTAACTTAGGGGTCGTCGCAAAAAAATTTTGTCGTCCCTCAAACGAACATGATTCATTCGGGGGGGGGGGGGGGGGGGGGGGAGCGAGCCAAAATCGCAAGTCGACCGACACTGTACATATGACATGTACATGAATGCGATTTCCGTCGTCCAGCTTAGCAAGCTGTGTTCGTTTCAGAGGGAGGGGATGGGGTCCGAGTACGAAATGAACGATGTTCGTTTCAGGGACGACAGAAAACTTTTGCGACGACCCCTTACACCTACACGCTCATTTTCACATTTTTTTATTTTTACCACACGGCATCTCCCTGTTTTAATTAACCTTCTCTCCTACCGTATTTCCCCGTAAGTTAGTACGCACTAACTTTCGAACTTAGCAGCCACATGCTTTCGGGGGTGGTACTATCGTTCGGGGAGTACTTTTTTTATCGGGGGTAAATGACACGCAGTGGGAAGCCTGCGCAACTCTAGTGTCCGTGCATATGATGTATGTACTGTACGGTGTATGTACATGTAGGACGGGTACGAACTTACTATCTTTCGAGGTGATAACCTCGGCAGTGGAAAGTGTATTTTTTATGGGGGGGGGGGGGTGTACTAAGTCATTGGGGAGAGCTAACTTACAGGGAAATACGGTATTGTTATAACGTCTTCATTGCTGCTTGTAGCGCTAATAATATGACTTGTTTCTGGTATTTTTTGCACTTAGTGTGTTTCTCTCTGACTTGAATACTGTGTACTGTAAAAGCAGAAATTTTCGGTGGTGTAATATTTTCGGTTTTCTCCAAAATCGGCGGTTCGGTGGAGGGAAATTTTCGGTAAAACCCGTTCTCCAGGTAAGTGTACTAGTACTACATGTATACAGTATCGGTTGTACTGAAATTTTCGGTGCGTTTTAATATCGGTAAAAATTGTTGGCACCGAAGTTACCGAAAATAAAACACCACCGAAAATTTCTGCTTTTACAGTATATTGAATAATTCTGATTCTATTTTCAACTCTACCCCATTCAATGTGGTGTTTGATTCCTGATGATTGTCACAAGAAAAAGTTTGAATCGTATCTCGACTGCTACATTATGACTGCTGATGAGCACGTTCACATTCTTCATTTCAATATTACCTATTCTTCCCCTCACATACTCACACCAATAGGTTAAAACTTTCTCAGTACTTCTCAGAATCAATATTAAGTTCGACTTCCTTTTCTCTGTGCTGACGAGTCCACAAAGGACGAAACAGCATGCTGTCCTCAGATTGAGTATTTCACTCCTACTCTTGCAGCAGTTGAGCACTGTCGCGTGGGGTAATGCTTTTGCTGTTTGCATTACGCAGAACTCACTGACTTGCCGGTTTGAGGACTCTGGCAAGGTACGTTCGGGCCTGGTTTAAATCTGGCTTTGGAAAATTTATTTTTTCATTGCTCAATCAGGTCCGGCCTCATTTTCTCTGTGCTGCGCTGATGAGTCCACAAAGGACGACGAAACAGCATGCATGTGTGTATGTGAATGCCAGTCGATGCATTATCGGCCGGCACGGCACGATTGTTATAATTAACGGTGGCGCTCACGTGATCAGACCTAGCCGCCAAACTGAAGTTGATGTTTCGTGCAGGACAAACCTGGTTAGCTACTAGCCATCAATAGATTAACTTTTTAGTAAAAAAAGAAAAGAAAACGTGTATAGGACTTTGGTACATGTCAGGAGAGAGAGAGAGAGAGAGAGAGAGAGAGAGAGAGAGAGAGAGAGAGAGAGAGAGGGAGAGAGAGAGAGAGAGAGAGAGAGAGAGAGAGAGAGGAGAGAGAGAGAGAGAGAGAGAGAGAGAGAGAGAGAGAGAGAGAGAGAGGAGAGAGAGAGAGAGAGGAGAGAGAGAGAGAGAGAGAGAGAGAGAGAGACAGCACATACCTAAAGGATAATGCTACGACGAGTGTTGTTGCTAGCACACCGAGGCCTAGAAAGGCATTGAGAATTAAATCGTCATACTGGACAGAGAGAACACAGTCATGCACGCACGCACGCGTATACACCCAACACATGCAACACAAGTACTGATATACTCGTAAGCAGCAGCAGCACATACAGAAACATACATAGCACCATGCATGTACAGTACGTATCTGTGCATCTACTGCTTACACAGCTGCATAATGCCGTTTATTATTATTTTATAAAAATTTTACTTTTATTATTTTTTCGGTTAACGCAGATGATGATGATGATGACAGTACGTATCGCCTATAAGGTTGGCGGCTACAGTAATATACCGGATATAGTGATCAATTTCGCAAATTCATTTTCATTTGCCATAACTAAGTATACACAGTTATCGCGTATAGTAATAATCGTCTATAGTAATATATCGCCTATAGTGATCAAGTTCACATTTCAAAAGACCTTTATTACTTCGAAGTACATTATTTTTGCATCGATTATAGTGATTGATGTAAAATCAAGTGGTGTCAGGGAGAACAGGGTGTTACTTCTTCGTGAAGAACTAACTTGTCCAGTGTTGTTTGGTGAGTTCTGCTTGTACAAGTTGCCAAATATGCCTCCATCGTGAGGAAATGCTGATGTTGTGTGACATGAGCTGTAGCCAGCTATGCAGTGCGTATGTGCACGGTGCCCTGAGTCGTTTGACACCCCACTCGCATACATTCCATGCAGTATCGGTCATAGAGATATATCGCTTATAGTGATAAAATGCTCAAAATCAAACACCAACGCTATAGGCGATACTGACTGTACGTCTTCAAACAGCATTGGTTTACCAAGCATGAACATACACTATAGTATAGAGGTTTTGCGATTACATCATCAGTTGAAATGATATTATCGCAACTTTTAAGAATGGGTTTGCTCCCACACTATCGCAACTGGTGATGTAATTGATTACATCACCAGTTGCGATGCTGTGGCAAGGTCGTGGACTTACAGCACAGCGCTGCGCTTGCACTACTAGTGACTCACGCTGCGCACTTGTAGTGCCCAATAGAAAAATCTGCTGACTCACGCTCGCATATTTGCACCCATAAGAAAATCCGCCATGAAATCATTTGCAAAACCTCTTAAGTCTGGACGGCAATTCGTTAGTGCAGAATGATATACCCAGGAACTCCAGATATACCCAGGAACTGCAGATGAAAAGGAATTCCGCTCTAATTCTAGCATTGCACGCAAACCTTTTTTACAGCAAAACCGAAACATTTCTCAAGGTGCGCAAGCTCCACTGCACAAAACGAGAACGGCGCAACAACCCAGAAAAGCCGGCTAACCTTTGCATAGGCGTGCTCACTGGAGTCGTGGAGACATTGTCATGATAGAGAGAGAAAAGAGGAAAGAATGTGGATAGAACACACATACACACACAAGATACAAACCACAATCATTGATCCCATCAATACGAGCTACCAAATATTCTTTTACTTCGAAGTAAACTGCCCGTCCTCTGCTGTGTACCTTTGCTCTGCGCACTATTTTTGCACATTGATCGCTGTAATGTTGGTGGACTGCACGGCTGTTGTACGGTATTACGAATATTACAACACTACTTCCTCTGTCAGTTCTGGTGAATATAAATCTGAGGAATCGAGACAGGTTGACTCTGAGAGAGTACCAGTTTCTTTTGCAGAATAGAGTACACAACTCAAAGAAGTGTATCCACCCACTGTTTGCGTTCCATTGTATCAATGTTCTTGAGCAGAGTAACTTCTTAGAACACGAATTAAAAGGTCACGAAGTTTTTGTTTGCGGAAGAAGCATACCCTTCGTCCATTGTCTTATGTTCAAGATGGGAAATGCTGCGATTGCTCACATGGCGTAACCCCCCCTCTCCCCATAGAGAATCCATACAAGCCGTTGATACCTGACACTTCCTGATATCAGTACACATGTTGGCATGGTATTGATTCCCTGTGAGGGGAACATACTGATTACAGCGGGCCCATGCAAATAGACTGCTGACTGTGTTTCAACTTACTGCCCTCGAGAAAAAGGTTTCACAGCTTTCAGCCAATATGTGCACACATTCTAACGATACACACAACACACACACACATACACACACACACACACACACACACACACACACACACACACACACATACACACACACACACACACACTCACGCACATACACACACACACACATACACACACACATACACATACACATGCACACACATACATACATACATACATACACAAACACACACACACACACACAAACACACACACACACACACACACACACACACACACACACACATGCACACACGCCGAGTGAAAGAGCAAAACATGATACAATGCAACTCACTGAGCTTCTGGCAGCGGCTCCTTTAGAACTCTAGCTCTGGCCTCTTCTCGCGCCTTCACCCTGACCTTTCCCTCCATTAGCATCCTTTCCTGATAATAAAGTGGGATAGGGATGAGGCCTATTAGCAAACCCAGGTAGTAGAACTTGAAGCGGTCCCTACGTAACTTGAACAGAACAGCGGGCTCATTGAATGATTGCCTCATCGCTTCGGCCTGTGCACGCGCTGCAGACTGCGGAGCTGGACTGGTTGTTGGTGGTGACGGCGGTGTGGACAAGTTTGCCGGTTTTGTAGACCGGGTGGACGCATTGCGCTGTGACTCGCGCACCCAGTACCTGCTCAGCAGGCCACTGCTAGAGCCCAGGCGAGCGCGGCAAGCCGAGCAGATGACGGAGGCGGCCTGCGACCACATCACGGCTGTCAAGGTCAACAGCTATTCCGACAACTGCTGACGAGCACCCTCATGGAATCTGCGGCAGTAGAAACATGAGCACGTACAGTACACATGACATCATAATTGCAGGTCACTATAAGCGTGGAGTCCTCTGCAGCAGATTCAGTTCAGCGTAAATAGGACAAACTTCAGGTCTACATCAGCCACTACATCGAACGAGAGAGTGAGGCTGTCCATTTGACAAAGAAGTAGACATGCAACGTAATGTACATGTAGCAGCCACACAACTACTACATCACACTGAGTGGGCCATTGGCAGGTACGTGTCAGTTTATGGGTACGCTTCGGGCCAGTTGAGGCAGCTTGACCGGAGTGTTCAATGCGCCAGGGTGCAGAACGATGAGCACACATACACACTATACACACACTATACACACACACACACACACACACACACACACACACACACACACACACACACACACACACACACACACACACACACACACACTATACACACACACACACACACACACACACACACACACACACACACACACACACACACACACACCATGTACCATGTACCATGTATACGCCCGTCGCAAGAGAAGCACGCAAATCTGCAAATGCACTGGATGTGCACCCACAGATTTTCTCTTTATAGCAACGATAGCGGATCTGATTCTGATTGAAACAGATCAAGACAAGCGTCAGATAACTGTCTAATCCACACAACTGGCGAAGCCATGTGAATCGCCCCCCCCCCCCCCCCCCCCCAATGCACACCTGGTCTACACCACACGGAGTACATCGGAATAGGACGGCCAAGACAGTTACCTATGCACACCCTACACTTGCTGGGGTAACCAGTATAGACAGCACGCTGCTTTGATAAAAGCAGACACTAGATGCACTGGTACCTTGAAGTGAAATTGGAGTTATTTTACCAACCAGCCTCGGCAACTGGGTACTGGGAACCCAGGGCCAACAGACGTACCAACAACCTCAGCCATGAAAGCTATATAGTAACGACACACTGGATTGTGGAGCCGAAACTAGTCCAACTTCCAAAATGCTTTAGCAAGAGGGTAGCCTTCCGACACACACACACACACACACACACACACACACACACACACACATCGAATGCTGGTTAGCTATGAATGCAAAGTTCTCTCTCTCTCTCTCTCTCTCTCTCTCTCTCTCTCTCTCTCTCTCTCTCTCTCTCTCTCTCTCTCTCTCTGTCTCTCTCTCTCTCTCTGTCTCTCTCTCTCTGGTGTGTGTGTGTGTGTGTGTGTGTGTGTGTGTGTGTGTGTCCCACATGGTGCAGTGGTATGTGCAGCGACTTCCAATCGAGAAGTTGCGGGTTTGATTCCAGACGCACAAGTTGCTATGGCTACTGCCGTAGCGCCGCTATCATCGATAGGCGTCAAAAAGTCAAAAGGTGTGTGTGTGTGTGTCTGCATGGATGTGCATGTGTGTGTGTGTCTGCATGGATGTGCATGTGTGTGTGTCTGCGTGGATGTGCATGTGTGCATGTGTGTGTGCATGCGCGCTCGCGTGCCTGGGTGCACGGGTCTTTCTGTGTTCCCAGGCTCATTCCAATGTCTTGCACAATGACCACTGCAGAAGCTGACCGCTTTTAAAAAATAGATTTGCACATATCCCTTCGGTGGTGCAATTACATGTATGCACGCTCGTCGTCTCACTTTCAATCACAGTACATGTACTATACACTAGTGTGCGGCTATACACTGTAAAAGCAGAAATTTTCGGTGGTGTTTTATTTTCGGTATCTTCGGTGCCGACAATTTTTACCTAAAATAAACGCACCGAAAATATACATACATGCATGCCGACTGCATTACGGGAAACTGGTTAACTGACATTTTCGCGCTACCGAACCGTTGATTGTGGGAAATACCGAAAATATTACACCACCAAAAATTCCCGATTTTACAGTAGTGTAGTGTCATGCACCACGGTTATTGGGTATGCATACCGGTATGTGGTTCAATACGTGTAGTGATCACATTCAGTAAAGAATGTGCTGTGGTCGGGATGCTTTGGAATGCAGTTCAGATACTTATAAAATGCTCTGACCACAATGCCACAGTATCTGCGTTGTCTAAAGCCCTGCATCCGTGATGAAAGGTAACACCAGGCGCGTGCGCCGTATGGGTTCCCGGGTGCCCGGAACCCCCTTTTTTTCGCTCAAAATGCAGGATTTTGCTTCTTTTTTTGAAAATTTTCCCGGGGGAGGCCCCAGAACCCCCCCTTGAAGGGCACCGGCGCACGCGCCTGAACAAAATTTTTATTTTATTCCAAGCAATACATGGCTGGGGTAGCCAATGACCACTAGCGACCATACAGCTTAGAGTTCCACGCACTCCTTGTAAGTATTCCCTGCTGCATAGTCACGTTACGCTACAACACAACAAAGTTCTACTAATCTCACCTGCAAACAAATTCACAGACACTTCTCGAGCACCAATGAGAAGGAAACAATCCCGGAGCACAGCCGCTGCCTCGCCCGGATGGTAGGATTTAGGGAAACACTGTTTGTGTTGGTTGAAAATCGCACATCCCTACTGCCTTGTTTGCAGGCGCAGTCCATGCAACCACAGTCAGTGAAGATATCAAGAGCCTTGCAGATATGTAAGTTAGTACAAGCATTAGTTACTTTTGTAACCTTGTTACAATTGCAATCTATTTTTGAATACTTGTGAGGTCTACTATTTTTTAAACTGCTGTATGAGGGAGTCGTCAAATACCGGTATTTGACGACTCCCAGATTATGATCTATACAGTATACTACTGCACTCTGCAGTCTGCACGGACCTTTCCCCGTGCAAATGACTGTGTACGTCACACTCACTGACGCTCATATAAAAATATCAATTAGGCCAAACTAAAGAAGGTGTGTGGTTCGACTAACATGGACATTTTTTTTACGGGCGGGCGGGCGGTTTTTTTTTTTTTTAATATATTTTTTAGTACATGTAAATACACTGTATACGCGTATCGAGTAGACTCTACTACCAGCACAAGGCAGCAGTCGTACCACTCACTGCACTGCACTGCAGTACAACTACAAGTACAAGTCAAGTCCAAAAGGAGCCGCCTGCGTCCGCAGACTCACGCCGCACAGCACGTAGACGTGGACGTGTTCAGTCCACGTACGTACGTCAGTCACACGACAGCCCGCCGAAAAAAAGTTACGGTCGGGCTGAAATTGTACGGTCGGTCGGGTGAGTCGAACCACACACCTTCTTTAGTTTGGCCTTACTTGATTGTATTGATATTCAAAACGTCATTTTGTCATGACAATGGCCAATGCACGCAAAGCGACGGCATGGCAGCAAATATTGAAATAATCAGCTACAACTGTGCATGTGCATTTGGCACTTGACACGTCTTGTAAGTACAGTAACTAGTTGTAACGAACTACCGGTATGATACAATTGCAACATAACTTGTGCTGGGATTACTATGATTACAACCACCACTACTATCCTGGTCTTCCACCACCACACACACGCACCATGTATACACCCGTTGCAAGAGAAGCACGCAAATCTGCAAAATTAATGCACTGGATGAGCACCCACAGGTTTTCTCTGTTGCCAAGGGGGTCGGATTTCAGTTGCCAGCACTGTACACACACACACACACACACACACCATGTACCACACACACACACACACACACACACACACACACACACACACACACACACACACACACACACACCATACACACACACACACACACACACACACACACACACACACACACACACACCATACACACACACACACAATAGCAAACTCTGGCCTGTGCATGCAGCTGCTAAGTAGAAGAACTAAGAAAAGAACAGAGAGTGACAGATAAGCACAGTAGGAAAACGTAGGAAAGAGAATGCCCCCTGACTAAAGTACAAGTGGCAGAGCCAGAAGAGGAACAACCAGCGAGTAACTAGAGACCAGAGTAACTAGATGATCAGAAAGAGAGAATGGAGACATAGTTCTCACGGTGGTTTGGGATAGAGGGGCAGGGAAACTAAGCGAACTACTAGAAATAGCGGCAACAGCTGCAGGAATCACTACCGTAAAGACAGCCGCAAACTTTGACAGATGTACACACTCGGCAACGGAAAGACTAGAGACCATATGGTGACCACAATATAGGGCATTGCCATTGGTGGTCTGTTGGAAGAGCAGCAGCAGAAGCAGCAGAAGCAGCAGAAGCAGCAGCAGCAAGAGCAGCAATGGGGCATAGTATTGTGTACGCTACTCACTGAAAGAGAACAAGCTGAGCAATACGCGCACAGCCTTTGTTTGCTGCACACCATGGACCATCATGATCATGATGCGAGGTACGAGAGCGGGGCAACGGAGCGAGGGGGGAAATCAATACCAAAACATAATACCAAATCAAAACCATGGCAATTGTCGGAATGAACACACACACTGCAAATGAATGTCCCACACAAACTTTGAAAAATGTTCTCACACAGCCTATTACAGTATTAGCACAGATACCTCAAGTCAATGGCAGCATGTACAGAGGGGCAAGGGCCTATACACGCAGTACGCAAATGTCCACATCTCACGTACTACGGTGGCAAAGCAACCGGCAAAGAACAGCCTAGCAGCGTGCATCCCACAAACGCAAGATGCCAGCATGCAGCCGGACGTCTTCTTCATTGCATCTGCACAGCAGGGACATATTGCTGGCAAAGCGACTATCTAGCTTATAGTAAGGGGACAGATCATCTCCAAATAGCCAAAAATAGAACACTGATATCTAATGCACATGCAATCTCCGATGATACTCTTCAGTTGGTTGTGAACTCATTTGTACAATGTATACAAAAAGACGCCTACCTAGGATCGACACAAAAAGGAACCCTGAGACGGACAAGTTGTGATGATGTAAGGCTGGTATACCACACACTGCCCTCCAGCTACGCTCTCCATCCCATAACTTTACTGCGGTAATGGCAAACAGAACTCTGGCATTAGATATCACACCGCAGAACTGGATCATGAAAACAATCCCTTTTTGTCCTTCTTCTTGTCTTTCGGGCTGCATAAATAGAAAAGAAAGAAGTACACACACACACACACACACGCACACACACACACACACACACACACACACACAAACACAACCATTCTCAATACAGAGAACAAAAGACCAAGCAAGGAACTTCACAGCCGGCTCGTCCTGCAAACGAAAATCCATCGCGCACGACCATTTACAATAAAATTATCCGAGCCTCTCCTGACACCTCGTTGAAGTCTTTGATCTGCTGACTCACAAAACTGTGGCAGTGGATGACAACTTCCTTCCTGCAGGCGATGTGCACATGAAGTATGTTAAGTTTTGCAGACCCTACTGTGGCTATGCACACATTATTTTTTTTTTTTTTAACCCCTCCCCAGCCACCCCTACCCCCACCCAGACAAGGATAACCAACACACGGATACATACAGCACACTCGACTTTCACACACCCCAATCACACCACAAGTTAGGTCACAGGGGAAGCGCAATGCGGGGCAATCACAATCACATCAGCTCCAACAAAGCATAATATAGAGTATCTTACGCTTTTTGAGATTGACTTAGCGAGTTGGTCTTTGTGAGGGCCATCGCGTCCCTCTCCTGCTCATACTTCCGCTGCTGCGCTTCAAATTCTGCTTTGTCGTCGTTGAACTGCCGCCGCCGATCTTCCAACTCCCTCTGCTGTTTGTCGATGTTAGCCTGCATGGCGTCACGGCGTTTCTGGAGCTAAAACAATGGGAGAGAGATAGAGGGACAAGAGTGTCACTCATGTACATGTACAAAGCACATTTGAACAATATCTTCATTATTTTAGTATTTCCTGATATGACGCGTATTGATGGCAGCCACCAGGACCCACTTCAACAGAAACAAAAAAAACTGCCACCTGCAGGCATTGAGATTAGTTAATACCGCACAAATTGCGCCCCAAGTCCTTGTGCAAGGAATGGAGGAAGTACTAAACAGAATACTGTAAACCGCCCAATATTCGGCCCCCCAAGGCTAAAATCCATTTCGGCCGCATCAAACTTTCGGCCTGTTAGGCTGTATACACTGTCACACTGAACCTTGCAAAACAAAAATTTCGGCCAAACATGACCGGGCTGAAAATAGCCGAAAATCAATATGCGCCGAATATTTGTTGCCTTACAGTAGAAGGTCACCGGCATACGCTGCTATTGTATGACATTATAATACAGAAAAAGTTAAAAAAAAAGAACCTTGGTGAGTGGAGCGTTGCACTTACATCTTGCTCAGAGTCCTTCAACTTCTGCTTCTTCTCCATCACCTTCATCTCAAACACCTGCTCCATCTCTTCTTGCATCTTCATCATCTTCACCTCATGCTCCTTCTTCTCCAGTTCGAATTGCGCCAGTGGATTTCTGTGGGAAGAGGACGCATATCATAGTAAGTTAGCATGCCAGAAGCAGTCCGTAGAGGAGACACAACTATATGTACTCCAAGACGGTACATTATAATTATAATCACAGAGTGTGCGCGCGCGCGCGCGCGTACAGACGAGTTTATCTGAAGATAAACAATGGTCACCAAGAAAAGGACCAGTTTGCTAAACTTTGCTTGCTACTCAGAGTTTCATGCATTGGTAGGTGCAGTCACCAGGGTAAACATGTACTGCCACACACACTCCATCAACAGCAGGGATACATTCCCACCCCATAGTCCTAAATCAACCAAATTTATATATTCATGACAAAAAACAATATGAACTACAACAAAGACAGCAAAGGTGATCAGTAATACCTTGCTTCGGATCCCTTTGACTGGAATTGTGGATTGACTGCCGATGCTAGCTTGTTGTAGCGATACTTCTCAAAATGGACATGGTCGGTGGTCTCGATCAGATCTTGCATGTGCGTGCGGATAAGCATGTTTCTCAGTGCACTAAAGTCGCAGTGCTCCAGGTTCTCCACTACACATACACACAAACAGTCAAATATACATACCATTGTGTAAACAAAAGAAGACGAAGTCCTAAATTTGCGATTGCATCAACTCTTTTAAAGAGACTTCACAAACATTTGGCCACATTACCTTTCTCACTCAGAGAACTTTTGGGGAGGTTGCCATTGGCCAAGTTCGAAGGTGTCAGCCCCGTAGAAACATTTATCTTGACAATTTACTGAGCCAGTGCTAAAATCTGGACTGGGTGAGCAAGGGCATTGAAGGAGACAGAGATGAACTCGGATAGTGAGCCAATTTAATCACGGCAAAAAAAGGAGAAGGACAAAATGTTACGAGCTATGACTAAACTGTCCACCAACGTAACCAGATCATAATAATTATACAGTCAGAGAGCGCGACAAAATAGTTGTAGTAAGACCGGTATGTCCAATAGTCTTACTAGTTTCGTCATCAACCAGTAACTCTCGGCATTCGTTGTTGCCGTGGGACGTAGCACGTGCTCTTCTTCGTTACATCTTCCTTCTCCTCTTGGACCTTTCCTAACCTGAGCCTGCCAAGTTGGAAGGTTGTTGGTTTGCGCCTCGGAGAAGTGTTGGAGCTAGGTGTCAGGTCGTTGAATGTCTCAGTACTCCTCGTCAGTTTTGTGCCATTTTGTCGCGCTCGCTGACTGTATATGATCTGGTTAAGTTGGTGGCCAGTTAGTCATAACTCGTAACATTTTTGTCCTCCCCCCCTTTTTAGAAAGATATCTTCAAAATTGCGAATAAAACGTCCTCTTGTTCGCAATTTGAAACTGTTGTCGCCTCGTCACTAATTTACATATGAGAAAAAGATAATCATAATAAGGCCACCTAGAATTAATTCGTTGTTTCGGGTCACTTCACTCATCCGTACCAGGGTCGGTCGGTCGGGCTCAGTTTTTATTTTAGTTGCGAGCAGGGGTGCATATCGAATAGCTTTTCTCCATCAAGCCAGTCGATGAAATCTGACTGTAGTCGATCCAGCGTAGCCATTGTCCCATCAGATCCAGGTCCCATCCAGGACCAGATCTTGGCCTCGCTGGCAAACGAGTCTGACGAGCAGCTCTCACCGAAGTCCTTGAAAACTTCTGTCAATGAGCGACGCAGTGGCGGAGCTGATGGAGTGATGCTGTTTCAGGACCGATTGCGAATTGGAGATAGAAGACAACGTCGTCACCAAGTGCTGCATCCTGTCAATTGGCTGCTTCTGAGGTCGATGTCTGGACTGCTATATATTTTGGGTCGCGTGTGTACATAGTCTACCTTGTGGTCGTGCACATTTGCATGCACTAAAAAAAAAATTGCGGTCGGGTGAAAAAAGACGGTCGGTCGGGTGACCCGAAACAACAAATTAATTCTGGGTGTTGCTGGGTTGCAGAGCTGGGAATGCAACTGCTGCTGAACGAGGGCTCATTTCATTGCCTTTACACAGGCAATAGGTTTCTCGAGAGCCTAAGATTGAAATCAGGCAAACAGAATGATGGGCAGATACGGAGAGGGTATAAGAGCAGAGCACACACGCCTATGAAAGCGACAGAGATACTTACCATCAATCACTCCCCATGGGTATTTCCGGCCGCGAACTTTCTTGCCACCAACGGTGACAGTTGTGTTGCTACCGACTACTGCAAATGGCATACGATCCTGCAGAGCACAACGTATCATGAAGACGAAAGTACAAAAGGAGAAGGACAAAATGTTACAAAAGTACTCTTGTAAGAAAGGGTTTGCTCCCCACACTGGAGCTCGCGCTATTCCGCCGACTTTACTTGACCCTTTCTTACAAATCATCGCCGCAGTCGCAACCACTACTTCGTACTGTTGTGCCCAGCGCGGGCTTGCGACTAGTTGGTTTGGAGGTGACAGCGTTGCGAATGACCGAGGGTCCTCAACGTCTGGTCTCACCGTCCAGGAGCGACACTGACTCACACTGCTATCTGGTGTTCACGAGGTGTTTGTCGCGCTGGAAATGGAGCGTCTCTGTAAGTTTGTATCCCTGGTGATGTCTGTGCCTGGAGAGCACTATATAAGTGGTGCTCTTCAGGCACAATCTTCCTCAACCTACTCAAGCTCAACTGATGAGGGGTGAATTCCCCGAAACACTGTGTATTGAGCAGGGAGTGGTGCTTTCTTGCAGGTTTGCCGAGTCGAAGGTTCGATGGACTTCTCGTGTGCTCTGGATGGCAGTCGTGAGTCAGTCAAGTGTCAAGTAAAGTCGGCGGAATAGCGCGAGCTCCAGTGTGGGGAGCATACCCTTTCTTACAAATCATCGCCGCAGTCGCAACCACTAAGAGTACTCTTGGTTTAAACAATCAAACAAACATATATTTACAATAAATGACTAATTATTCACAAGGCGAGGGAATGAAGTGACTAAACAATTAGTAATTACCGAATCAAGCCTGTGCTCTACGCAAACAAAGACAGCTTTAGAGAAACCAGTCCACCAGAGCACGAATGACAGGAGGAAAGAGACGAATAGTACCAGCAAACTTACCCGCATCTGCTTATTTAGTTCGACATCCTCTTCATCCTCACCAGAAGCGGGGAATGAATACACCTGGATTTCGTTCTGCTCAATCTCTTCTAGGATCTGGAAACAACACAGAAATCAATACGAACATAAGATCAATGTGCAGAAAAAGGCATACAGGAAAGGAAGCATACTCCGGCAAAGTAACACTGAGCAGAGAAACATAGAAGACAAGAGTACATTACCCCAAGTGTGCAACTGCCCGCACAACCTCTATGCAGTGCTGCGGCGGCAGAACTGCAGTATGGGCTGTCACGTGATGTGATGTTCTGCCGTCGCAGACGCCACAGCTGGAGATGCACACTCTTGGGGGTTATGTACTCTTGATATAAGACAGGAGGAAGCATGGCCAAACAGGATGTGTCCGGAGGAAAGCATACACCACAACTCACCCTCTTCTTGAACATTTCACATTCTTCAGTTGTTAGCGTGTCTGACTTGGCAATCAGCGGGATGATGTTGACCTAAGAAACGACCACAGTACACATCCGTTAGATTCCGACTCCGACGGACATGTAGTAGCACCCTTACATAATATCAATCAACATAGCGCAGCAAGTGAAGAAGTGGACATAACATGAGCACTACCGAATGAAACGGGAAGACAAAACATAGCACACAAGTCAAGCTGCAACTGTGTAACGTTAGATGTACCTTTTTGTGGAGTTCCTTCATGACGGCAATGTCGAGAGGTTTGAGGCTGGACATACAGGATAAACGCACCACTGTATGAGAAGGAATTGCTATCCAAAAGAGAAGTGATAGACAGCACCAAGCTACACAGGAAACCCCTGACTAGACAAAGCGGTCGGATTACCCTGTCTAAGGCCATATAGCAGACAAAGGTATAATATTAAACTATCATCTAACACAATTAGCCGATTACACATAGCCAAATTGGGATGGTATGAGTAATGCATGTGAGTGCACTGGGTGTTGGTGGGTACAGGCTAAGTCAATGCGCAATGAGCTGGTGGTTTAGCAAGGCTAAGCACAGTACAAACAACTCCACAGCGTGACCCAACACACCTCTGAGCCCGAGAATCACCTCAGCACGGTAACCGGTAACCAGAGTAAATATCCAACGATCCAAAGAATCCACAAACTACAGAACATCTGATCTAGCCAGTCAGAGATGCAAATAGCAATCTACAGTGTTGCTCGATGAAATCCAGTTGCGTGACTCAAGGACACGCCGGGCGTTGCACAGCCCTAGACCTGCGACCGCTGGGCTGTGAAATGGTGCAAGGCGCAAACTTGAGTGACGCGACTGGATTCCATTGAGCAGGACTGTAGTTAAACGTCGTTTACTCACCCATGGCCGGTGGGCGCAATGAAATACAGGCAGGCGTGTACACGTCGATCGGGCACGGCGACACGCTTGATTTCCGACTGTGCGTTGAGGTACTCCTCAAACTGCTGGTCAATGTGATCTACAATCGGCTTGGTGCTAAATACAAACACAACAGAGTGGACAGGCCGAGTTAACGCAAAGGGAGCCCCAAACACACACAAACCTACAAATGATAATGCAGGACACAGCACTAACGACAGCAGTTTGTTGAACATGTTCTTAAGTGGTGATTGAGACTGAATGTCCAAGATGCCAAATGTGCTGTTCAACAAAATTAGATCTGCACCTACCATTGGCTGTTGTCTACGCTGTCGCCGAATCCTGGCGTGTCCACTAATGTGAGCTTCAAGCGTACTCCACCTTCGGCTAGTTCGACACTGGATGTTTGAACCTAATCAGGTGCAAAGGCATATCCGCACATCGCATATACACACAAAAGGGTCGACTGTCAAGCTGGTGTCAAAAGGAGGAAAGGACTCACCTTTAATTAACACCTTGTAACACAACCAGGCATATTCTATTTGTCTCTCTCTTCTCTCAGGAGTTCAACGCAAGAAAAATGCCAACCCCACCACCGCAGACAGTACACACATCATGGAAATAGCCTGCTGCACACAAAGAGGGAGGACTGATGGTCTGGAGAGCGTAGAAGTGATAACAAGAAAGGCTGTACAAACTTGGCTACATAAGCTTTGGCCACAAAAGGGCATACTAGTTGAGGATATGCTGCAGTGGAGTTTCACAGCTGCCTGTACAAATACAAGGATGCGGCCACACATACAGATGCATACACACAAACGTGTAACAAGTATGCGTCCACCCAGGGGAGAAGACAGTATACAGTCACAAGGAGGCTGTACAATCAGCGAATCACTACAGATGCACAATGCCATACAGCAACACATTGCAACTTGTAGCGTGGGAGATGTCAACTGACCACATATCTGAGGTGTGTGCCAACATGGGCCACCAGGGAGGTATCAGGGTGCATATTGACACATGCCTGTCAAGCTATCATGCAGGCCAGGGCACGACATGACACATCACAGTGAATGCACAACTACCAGTACAAGTCAAAACTCAAAGCACACAATACTACAGTCATGTAGCAGATCTACAGCAAGTTGTGCAGCAGCTGTCAGTTGGCCATGGGAGAGTAACAGTACAGACATTCCGAGCTAGTAGCAGTAGTACGCGCACAATGTGAACCAGGCCAGGTGAGCAGCGCAATCACACCACTGCCACTGGCAGCACATTGGGTGCAGGGAAATCTCATGTATCCACACTGCAGCATTGCCTCCAGCACACAGCCAGGACAGCACACTCTGCCCTTACTTCAGCCAGACACACACACACACACCTATGGCAAGCAAGCAGCAGCAGCAGCCAGAGAGTAAGGCTCCCCCTGGTTTTTTTTATTGGCACATCATCCATTGAGGGCCATCAAGGCAGTAGCAAGCACTTCCTTGCAGCCTTCATACCACAATTCCCTGCAAGGCTTACCTAAAATAATGCTCGATCCGCCTTTACTGCACATTATACATCATCAAGTGACGTTGCAGGGGCTTCAGGTGAGTTTCTCAGGCAAAAAGGTAATTAGTGATATAACAATACACTGTCTACATGTGCATGCTGAAGTCGATGCTCCTGGACAGTTATGCAGTTACAAGTGGCGAGTCGCTCTGTGTGCATTTACAAGATACAACAGCAGCAGCATTAGCTATTACCTTTGTTGTGCTTGGTGTTCTCTTCTCTGCAGGTGGATATACTGCATCGCAGTACAGATTGCACAGGAATAGCGAGTTAAGTAGCGTGGATTTACCGAGACCTGACTGCCCTGTTGACGACAAAGCGCGCGCACACGCACACAGACACGCATGGTTATTCACAAAAAAAGTTTAAAAAAACCTACACCGCCATGGTCAAGCTTTCAATAACGGACAGACAGACACAGAGCCAAAGGCTGCAAAATGGAAAGACACAAACAATTTGGAAAGAACCAAGAATTCCAATGGGTCGTGGTGATTAAAGATGATTCTTTACTGCGTAAGACCACCAGTTCATCTGGAGGCACGGTACAGGGCATTCCACATGCAGGCATGCCACGGGAAGGCACAGTGATGCTCTTAATTTTCAAAGCCATGCACGTGATGCTGTAAGTGAATGGTGTGCATCTAGCCTGCTTCGCGCTAATATTAACTCATTATGTGCTTTACTGATTTATGGTGCAAAATAGCAATCCACAGAAGAGTGTGTCCTGTTCTATAAATATAATCGATCGAAATGGACGGGATGGTGAAGGAAGCGACAAGTGTCTATTATTACGTAACCTGTACGATCATGCATAGCACACACACTGTTCACGGTGCACCAGTGAATGACCGTGGAAATTCTTTACAGAAATTATAATTTCGAGCGACAATCAAGGCACTTCTCAGCACCACGTAGTACAAATTTAGCAATGAAGAATTCAAGCGATTGCACAGTAGGAATCCATCAAGGGCTGAGAAACGATTCGGGGCGGGCTGGAAACAAGTTTCCCATCGCCCGGTGACACTGCCTGGCCAGATCTGGCAAAGGCAAGTGTCACAGTGGCGACATTGCATTGGACAATCTGGTACAAAAATTCCAGAGACCATTGGAAAAGTCGACGCTCATCGCCTCTCAGGAGAAATTTCGCGGCATACCCCACGGAACAGGAAGATGGAAACGTTTCGCAAGTGAGAGGAAATAAATCAGTCCTATCTGTTTGTGTCGATCAACTTTTGTAGCACTGTATAAATAGCTACCATGCCCACGAACTCGAGATCGTACACATTACACAAGCGGTTGGGATCATGATGCAATTTGTACCACCAAAATACAACGTTTTGTAATGTTCAAAAGGCTGATATGGCCAAGCCAGCAACAATTACATGTACATTCATCGCTGCAACAGTGCAAGGTGGAAGGAAGAAAGACGAATGGCATCCAGCTCATCTGCATACACGTGAGGATGATCGAGAACGTTTTTCGTTGGCAAACTACGACCTTGACAAACGGTACGACACTGTACTGGCAATGGAAATTTGAATGAGAACGTTCGGTAGAAAAGTCTTACCGACAACCATGAGGGTGAATTCAAATCCACGCTGTACAGATTTTCGGAAGACTTGGTTCGGCAAATTAGCAAATCCAACGTAATGCTCCATCTCTTTCACCTGCAAGAAGACCACGGCAGTGGAGGTGTCCCACAACTCAAGAAATCTTTGACCAACTCAACGTCTTTCAACTTACAGCACCAGCCATCTTGAGAGGAGTACTTCACCGGCAAGAACGATAACCAATAATTACTACGCCCTTCACCTCGACTACTCCCTAAAACTCTGCCCAAACCAATGACTGTGATACCTCCAATCGGCTGGTATGCACGGAACGTCAGGCCAAGCCACGAGAGGACACAAAATAGAGGACGATTTCACTGAAAGGCAAGAGGCACACTTCGCCTGCACTACACGGTGTCGGAGTGATTACTCTTCAAAGATCGCGGCTTGGGTTTACAAAAAAAAGTCTGCAACAGATCAGAGGCTAGGCGGTCGAGATCGTACATAGCGATTGGTAGATAAATCGATGCGGTAGATCGTGGTAGATTTATGTGGTATGTGCGCTGTGACTGAGCTGAGCACTGAGCTGAGCAGCATGAGAGGATTTTGGCCGTAAGCTTCCCGGTTTCAAAACTCGAATTTCAATGGAAAGATGAATCTTCCCGAAATTCGGACGGCTATGCGCTTGTTTATAATTTTTCTGCAAGAAAACAGATTTTGTCCGCGTCCATGATCCATGAACCTCGCGATGAGCGCTATTAATTTTTTTTGTAGCGCCGAACTCATGTGAAGGTTCAGCGTCACTGCACGTGTACCATGGTGTACGTGTCGGGAGAAGTCGAGTTGAGTGACTTGAGTCGTTATCTCTTTACTTTGTGACGGTCGTTTTATTTTTGATGAAAGGGAAAAATCAGAGTTCGTGTTTCTTGTGGATGTACCTGGTACAGGTACTGGTTACTGTTTCGTCTTTCCAGGCTATCCCAGTGAGGCTTGAGCTTGAAAAGCTGCAAGCAGGTTGGAAGAATGTCCCCGCTGCAGTAGCTCGTAATAGTAAGTCTGTGATATGGCGTCAGGGTCAGTGAGATTCACCGTGCAGGAAGCTGAGGATCCAGCTGCTGAACTTGAGGTGGAGTTGCGAAACACAGGCGCCTCGTTGACGTCGTATGGTAAGAAATAGGAACCAAGCGCACAAGTGTTCCTCTGAACATTACAACAAGCGGGTTTTGGCTCAAGCAGAGCGGAAAATACTTCCGGCATGCCCAAAATCAATCAATTGTTTAAATTTCAGGGGGAGACAATGGCAAGTTCTGCCAATTGCATTAATTGTTTCACAGACACAGGGGCGTAACTCGCACATCTCTGATGTGGTGACCTTGTACCAGAGCACATTTGTGGTGTGGTGAGCATGTACCACTAGCAACCCCAAAGTCACCATTTTGCCTATTTTGAATACCGTATTTTCCAGGATGTTTGTTAGCCGCACTTTAAAGTGCAATAAAACACTCAAAAACCACCCCTGTGGCTAAGGCTGCAACCACACTAGACACCAAAGTGTGTAAACTTTACTGCATTGTGTATGTCACCAAGGACACGGGCCCAGAACGCAAAACGCACTGCGTTTCGTTTCAGCAATCTGAGGACCCTGTGGAAAGCAACGTACCTGCGTATTTTGACACATTCTGCATTTCAGACTGCGCTGGGGTGCAGTTACATTACGATTGTACACGTACTAAGTACAATGTAGCTCAAGTACGCCCTCAATCAAGTGCAGTGTAGTGTTACGAAATGCTGTACGCGAAGACAAACTTGATTTTGTACATAGTGTACGTGTGGTGTCAGCTTCAGACTCCGAACGCTGGATGATACTAACCTACGTGACGTCCACAATATGGTTAAGTTGCACGTTGTTTTGACGTCCCGCGAAAGTTCAGCTCGCGTTATTTGGCTTGTGCGTTGGAAACAACGCAAAGTGACCCGCAGCTCACGTCGAAATTAGGAGTTTTACGCCTAATTTGACGTGAAATTGCGCGTCACATCAGAAATAACGTGCAGTCCACAGCTTTCACTGATGAGATGTGTATGATCGAAATAGTGTTCTGGAGGAGTTGATGCCAGTGTTTACTAGTATGACTTGGAGTCGTGTTGCCGGTGTGGTGAATGAGGTCGGCCTGAGACCCGCATATGACTGGGAGTTGGGACTTGACGATGAACAGCCCAAGAGCTACTGCATACCCTCTTTTACAGGCAGCCCCTAATTAGTATTTAGTATTACATCAGTGAAAAAGGAGAAGGGCAACATGTTACGAGTTATGACTGACTGTCCACCAACGTAACCAGATCTTATACAGCCAGCGAGTGCGACAACATGGCACAAAACTGACAAGGAGTACTGAGACATTCGGCGACCTGACACAAAGCTCCAACACTTCTCCGAGGCGCAAACCAACAACCTTCCAACTAACTTGGAAGGCTCAGGTTCGGAAAGGTCCAAGAGGGCCAAAACTCGTAACATTTTGTCCTTCTGCTTTTTCACCGTAAGTTAATTGGCTCACCATCCAAGTTGAATATTACATCAGTGTGTTACAATTGCAGTAATGACTTGGCCTCGTTCTGCGTGTTATTTCTGTTGCCCAAGTCTCGTACCAAGTCCTACCCTGAAGATCTGGCTTAGTGACAATTTGAATATACCTTCAGTTTATCGCCTGAATTATTGCCAATATATCCAACCTCCACAGTATGTTGTTGGCAAGCATGTGGTGGCCTGAGGTGAGCTGCAGGCCAGACTACAGTAGAGCAGGCTGTTTGCGGCCTGGCAGCGGAGTACGAATGGCCTGTTTCAGCTCAGTGCTACAGTTGCGTTCGCTGAAATCCTACCCAAAGTGCAAAGTTGGCACCCTGGACACGTTCCGATTACATCCTTGTGTTAGGCCCACAAGTCATATAATTCATTAGTTCATGCATTATTCATTTGGCCTGGGTAGCTACTTGCGCGTCCATGTTTGCCATAGCTACCCAGGCCCTTTATATTGCGTTGCTGCTCTCTCAACCCTCTCTCTTCAAATAATCGCTCTCTTCAGTCGAGCTCTCTCTCTCTCTCATAATGTAGTTGTTGCGTTGCGTCTACCATAATAAATGTTTCCCCCCCACTCGTTCCCGTCGTCCGTTGCGTTTGGGAGGATTGAGGCTCCAGAATGTCCAAGACTTGTATTAGTACATGTTTACGTTTTGCCGCATTCGTGCCACTTTCAGGGCGTCAAGGGCCGTGGAAGTTGAGGGCTCCAAATATGCACTCCCGGTCGGATTTCACCAAGCGCAACAGTTGTGCTCACTGAAATCCGACCCAAAGTGCAAAGCTGGCAACCTGGACCAGTTCCAATTACATCATTGTATGCGTACATGTGTACGTCCAGCCACATTGATTCCACTTCCAGGGCGTCAAGGGCCGTGCAAGTTGAGAGCGCCAGCTTTGCACATTGGGTCGGATTTCAGTGAGCGCAACTGTAGTACAAGAGTTCAAGAACCGGAGGTAGGGCGAGGAGCACACCGTGGATTTCGTTTCCATATCATTCATTTCCTTTGTTTACGCTGGCTAACGCGTGTGCGTGTGTACGCGTATATGTGTGCGTGTGTGTGTGTGTGTATGTGTGTGTATGTGTGCACGCATGTGTGTGTATGTGTGCACGCATGTGTGTGTGTGTGTGTGTGCGCGTGCGCGCATGTGTGTGTGTGCGTGCGCGCAAGTGTGTGTGTGTGTGTGTGTGTGTGTGTGTGTGTGTGTGTGGTTTCAATGTTTTGCCAGGCTCTATTCATGGCGAGAATAAGGATACAGGCTCTATCAAGTCCGGGGTAACTGGCCAGCCGTATAACAATCTATCAGACATCGAACGAGATGCAGAGCCATATCAGGTGGCAGACTGCAACCTGGCATTGTTTGAGGTGGGTGTTGTCTTTTCGATATCAAAAGCTAGGGGATCAGACCAGCCTTTCTTACAATGTGTTTAATTTCTGTATTGATGTATGTGTGTAGGAGGGGGGTGTCTGTCTCTTTCAGTGGCTCTCTCTCTCTCTCTCTCTCTCTCTCTCTCTCTCTCTCTCTCTCTCTCTCTCTCTCTCTCTGTCTCTCTCTCTCTCTCTCTCTCTCTCTCTCTCTCTCTCTCTCTCTCTCTCTCTCTCTCTCTCTCTCTCTCTCTCTCTCTCTCTGTCTCTCTCTCTCTGTCTCTGTCTCTCTCTATCTCTATCTCTCTCTCTCTCTCTCTCTCCCTCTCTCTCTCTCTCTCTCTCTCTCTCTCTCTCTCTCTCTCTCTCTCTCTCTCTCTCTCTCTCTCTCTCTCTCTCTCTCTCTCTCTCTCTCTCTCTCTCTCTCTCTCTCTCTCTCTCTCTTGGTAGCAGACACCCATCATTACTCTGCTAGTGAATGTGCTCTTGTGGGAAAGTGTGTACTGAAAGTGACGTAGAGCCGTGGCAGTGCTCTTGGGTATTGTCCTGTACGCTGAGTACAGTAAGCGGTATAACCGTATAATGTGATCTTGTCCCATACATTATTCTCTTTTGCAGGGTTAAAAAAATATGGTGCACATGTCATACACAGTCTTAAGTTGCAATCGCCATGCTGCTATCTTGTTTGCTCTTGGTTGCAGCCATTGTGCTGGTACTGCTGTTGTTGCTACTTATGGGTTGTCTTTCAACTCATAGCTCTTGCTTGTGTCTGCTTTGTTTGCTTTTAGAATGAAATCACGAGCCGTCCCAAGATTTCCTCTTTGCTGTCTCGCTTGGCCAACTCGGAGTATGTCCCCAATAGCGATGGAAGCGAAACCGAGACGGCTTTGCAGAAATCTCAATTGCAAGATCAGGTACGGCCTGGCGGAAGAATGACATATTTCGCATTCTGTTGACTGGTCAATTTAGCTGATATACATGTATGTTTCTCCAAGTAGCCATTATTATGAGAAGCGTCCCTGAATTTTTCAAAAGGCATTGGCTGGCACATTGAAGGTACATGTACAGTCTATATGCAGGGTGAACATTTTCGCTGCATTCCGTGACCACTCTCTCATGCCCCGTACTACAGACAAGAACATTCAGTCCTTGTAGAAGATTATCTGAACCTAAGTTGAAAACAATGTTGATGAAATGTGGCTAGTTCACGGCCTAGGGTGGTGCCTATGGTGGTGTTCTTCATGCTTAGGCGTTGCAACATAATAGTGAAGTATTCAATGCTATTACACATGTGCAGTTTTCAACATGTCTGCGTTTCTGTGTGTGTGCGTGCGTGCCCGCGTGTGCGTGTGTGTGTGTGCGTGTGTTTGTGTGTGTGCATGCACGCATGTATTGCTGGTTCACGTTGCCTTTCTTCATCCACCCCGTGCAATGCACAGAGCAATAAGATGGGCACGCTGATGGGCGTCTATCTGCCGTGTCTTCAAAATATCCTCGGTGTCATTCTATTCCTGCGGCTGACATGGATTGTGGGTGTAGCAGGTACTGGCCTGTCTTTCCTCATCGTCTTCATCTGCTGCACATGTGTAAGTGCTGCAGTCAGTCATGCCTACTATAGTAGCATGTTGTATCCACGGTCAGTAGTGTTTGTAGTGGAGCTGAGGGTGTGCTTTTCCAGCGGATACAGGATGCTTGTACAGTCTGCACACGACTGCAGTAGATGGCCTTTCAACTACAGTGCCGGCAACTGAAATCCGACGCCTGATTCTTGTGCTGATTCTAGCGGTCTCTATTCCGTAGTGCTACAATCCCGTTCTGCTGGGTCTTTGCAATGTGAGCGCACCGCTCCAGGGGTCAGATTTCAGTTGCCAGCAATATACGTGTACCTATTAAATCCGACTGATGCATATTCATTCCGATGTTGTTGTTGTTTCTTTATTTTACTTCACCATATGATGTGTCAACTCAGAGTCTGTTGGATATGTCCAAACATGATGCAAGCTCTGTATGTTAGAGTAATTGTTATGTCGCTCTGTGTGTGTGTGTGTGTGTGTGTGTGTGTGTGTGCGTGTGTGTTTTTCTGTATCTAGACCCTGTTGACTGCCATTTCAATGAGTGCTATCGCCACCAACGGCCGAGTACCAGGTATGTTCAGACTCTTGCTGCGCTTGAGGCGGGATGTAAATGGTGTTTCTCTGGTATGGGCCAGGGACAGCAGACACGTGTCTTAGTGTGAGAGCGGTGTTTGTCCAAAAGAGAAAGAAAGACACAGTTATGTCGCTTTGGATTCAGGTGCAATGAAAATCGAAGGAACAAAAAATAAACTCTTTCTCCACCTTCTGGGTCTAAAATCGTTCTCACTTAAGCGCACATTTCTACTGTACCCAGCCCATATCTCATTGTTGAATATTAATTATTAATTTGCTTTACACCTGGCTAGCTTTGGAGTATCGTTGCAATCTGTCTATATGACTGTAATCAGCTGATCAATGCCAAGGAAATCATGTTGATGGTTACTCACTCCCAGGTCGCAACCGTTCTGTCGCAGTCTTTTGAAGTCGAGTACGCAGTATATTTACAGTTGGTACTGCTGTATTGAAACTTCCTTGTTGTCTCCTGCAGCTGGCGGTTCCTACTATATGATCTCAAGAGCGTTAGGTCCAGAGTTTGGTGGTGCTGTTGGTGTTCTTTTCTACCTGGGGACGACGTTTGCCTCCTCACTGTATATCCTTGGTGCTGTTGAGCTGCTTCTGGTGAGTACGACCTATGCGTATGGCTGTGTATGGTGGAAGTGCGGCTGGATCTTCTGGGAGCATCTCACTCCCTCTCTCTCTCTCTCTTCTCTCTCTCTCTCTCTCTCTCTCTCTCTCTCTCTCTCTCTCTCTCTCTCTCTCTCTCTCTCTCTCTCTCTCTCTCTCTCTCTCTCTCTCTTGTGGGTTTATCTACAACTGTACTTCATCAGTTATGTGCTGCCCCCCTTCTCATGGGCGTAGGAACCGGTCCGGCAGGCCCGGCGGTCGCCGGACCAATAATTTTCGATTTTATTTATTTATTTTTACATTTCAACCTTGTTGATGGCTTGTCGACTCTTGTACAGGTACCATGTTTTACATCGACAATGCGGTGTATCATCAGCATGCATATTCTTATTTCTCATTATTCTGTAGCATTAAAATATGACCTTTTAGGCCAATTTTCAAAAAAAATCCCGCGGGGAGGACCCCCGGACCCCCTCTCA